TTCACACGCACACAGCCATTTAAAATTGAATATATTCAACACCCAATCTAAACACGTTCTACGAATTTGCGATGTATATGCACTGAGCATTTTCTTTCACCAGAGCAGCGGCTCCATGTGTATTTGTTTGATTTTCGGTTCTTTATAAATCTTTCATCAACTTTAAATGGAATCAATTGTTTAAAGCGCTAACGAACTCAAATCTTCTCTTTTTTTTTGAATCATTTAACAAATTCAAAAACTAACCGCCATTGATATGTGTAAATATCAAACGAAAAACCGAAACGAAAAGAATTCTAATGCGAGAGATTTCGTGTTTTCTTCTCTCTTTAAATTTACGATTAGTAAATGAGCTGCCATTGGATATAATATTTTAAGCATGATGAAGAAAAAAAAAACACAAATTTCTATTCATAAACAATGTGAATTTTCATAAAGATTGCATGAATAATCATTGGTTATTTGAATCCAGAGTGCAATATCCGTTCTACGTGACCATAGATTTGATTTTAAATGAATCGAAACATCCGGTGATTGGAGTGTTCCACCGTATGTAAAATGAACAACGTAACACCCCGATCGATTCAAAATTTTATTCATCCACTTCAAATAGTTCTCTTTCGCTTTCTCTCACTCACTCTCTCACTTGTGTAATTTAACCTGACGAAATGGTTTTATTGACGCCAGCGCGCACCTTATTCGTCATAAGCTAACAAAACAGACATAACCGATGTTGAGAACATGTTTGTTCGTCTGTAATGGAGTTGGAGTGTTCGTGAATAAAATTTCAAAAATGCTCATCTTTCTTTTGTGTGTCTATCTCTGTTCGTCTCACATTCATTCGTTCTCTTTTTGTTTTTTTTTTTTTTTGTTTTTTGAGCAACGAAGAAGAACAACAACAAACAAATCGAAGCATTTCGTATGGTATTTTCTTCAGCCGTCCAAATGACAAAATAAATATGCATGCCAAAGACATGGTGCTGAGCGACGAATACAAACTGCACATCGACATATTTATTGTTTATGAATGCACGTAGTATGTTATTACGTTTTAATGCATTATGAGTGCTGGTGGTGATGGCTGTGGTGCTGTTACTCTCGACCATTCGTATCAAGTGAATGTGCGTTTATATATGTATTGTTGTAATACAATGTGCATGTGTTGAGTTTACTATTCGTTTTATATTTGTGTTCCTTCTCTCTTTTATTCATAATATAACGTGACATTATGAATAAAATAAATGAACTGCTGCATCGCCAAATGAACGCAATTAGATTTGCGACCAGCATTTGTGAAGCGTTTTCGTTATATTAAAAAGAAAGAAGAAGAAGACAACAACAATACAGCATTGCACAGCACGCAAGACGAAAGATCTTCTTCTTGGATACACTTTCAAAGATGCATTGTGCATTGTATTCGTGTGCATGTACACAAAATGCCAGTCATTTACAATCGTATCGTTCTTAAAGTGTTGATGTGCTGTTAAGTGTACTAAAACCCCGCTGATCAAAACATTCCTATCGAACTAGGAGCTTAACTTTGAATGCGCTCTCAATTAGTTTGTGTTTTATTTGTTCTCGAGCTCTCTGTTGCTCTCTATTTATTTTTTCTTTTCAAATCATTTTCAATCATCGTCGTCGTCGTTGTCATTTTCGTCATCGAATGCAATTTCATTTGTTTCGCTATGCATTCATATACATAACAGTGTGAATTAGTGATTAACAATCCCTTTGTTTCGGAATATTTGTTTTCTGTATTAGTTTTCGACACAATAGATTCGGCTAGTTGTCAATAGCAACGACGACGATAAAGGCGCTAAGTGCAAATATGTTCAATGAAATTCACTTCGATTAAAATAAATGCAGTTTCTATTGAAATAAAATGTACTTTGGCGTATAATCTCTCTCTCTCTCTCACTCTCGCTCTCTCTTGCTCACTCTCCATTTTTTCGTGCATTCCTTGATCATGCCCCATTCACTGCATCGTGTCATGCATCGATTTGAGTTTGCAGCATGTAAGTATACATATGGTTTTTTTTTTGTTGTTGTCGGTGTGTGTTCGCGCTAGTGCTTAATCCGACCATTTAATATTTTTTTGTTGACCCGACGTATAAGTGTAATTGTTAGTGCGCTCCCTCGCTCGCCATGTGTATAAGTGTTGGTCGTTGCTTTGTCTCTATTTGTTTCGTTTCATTTTCGCTTTACACAAAAATTGTATTTTAAGCATGTACTAATTTTGTTGTTGTTGTTGTTGTCTGCTGCGGTTTTACCTATAAAATATTCATTTATTTATTGCTTTTCTGGGATTTTATTTTTAGCCAAGAGGCATCTCACTATATCCGCAGCAAAAGAGATGAAAAGCAACAAACAAACAACTGGCACACACGAAGCGAAATTACGGCGAAAAAAACGACGATTCCTTTTTGCACACATGCACACATATGAAATTTCGTGTCCAATACCAACTTTTTTTTTGTTATACGCTTGTCTCGTTTGTATTGTTGGTCACTGTAAAACTATTCCATTCGCTATGATGTGATCGTGGATGTTTTTTTTTACTTAACAACTTATTGCAATTTTATTACAATTTGTTTTTTGTCATTGTTGTTGACCGTTAATGATATGAAATGATCAAAACTGTATCTCACTGACAATGAACGTTTTTTTTGTTTAGTTCCCGTAAATTTCACTTGAATATACAATCTCTAAAACTTCAACGGAATTTATTCTCATCCACCATAAATGTTTGTTTCAATGAAATTCGTTTTCTATCTCATGTCGCGTATAAGCTATATTGACTAGTAAACTTTGTGATCCATATAATTTATGTAACAATTTTGATTTATTTAATTAAGATGTGTAAGATGTGCGCGCATATCATTCTTTATACATCCATTTTCTTGTTTTTAATTCAGCTAAATCAATGTGATACATATTTGTTGTGAGCGAAAAAAAGCGCGTGTTCGGTTACGATGCTGTTCATCTTATTTGAATTTGTCTACATTCAGATTAAAATGATGTTTACGAATAACGATCCACTAACAACAATGTCTATAGATATGAATGATGTTCAAATGTATATGATCCTGCCGTATTTACCGAAGAACAAAAACAAAAAAATCGTTCCACTTCACATTCATTTATATATCGTTCACATTCATTTATATATGTCGTGTTCAAGAGAAACTGGTGAATTTTTATAAATTTAAAATTTTGGTCGGTTTGAATTAATTCTGCTGTTTACTTCCGTTACACTGGTTTGTTTGCAATTGAAATGTTGTGAACTTAAATTAAATATAAAATAATAATCACCGCTAAAGTGCAAACTACAGAAAAATGTTCACAACATCGATAGGAATATCAAAAGGAAACGAGAGTAAAAATTAAAAAAAAGGTGAGAGAATAAAACAACCACTAAACAAAAAAAAAATTTGAATATTTGTATGAAATACCATTTGACACAGTAGCACACAAAACAGTATGGAATAAATACAACAAACGGCATGAACAACGCCGATCAACTGATTCTTTTGAATTTTTATTTTGAGTCAGTAGCAGCAAGCAGCCGTAGCACACCATCGAACCGAATAACATCCATGGTAGAAGGCAGCAGCAACAACAAATACACATAAAGCGCCAATGAACTCGTTCGCACATGTATGGCTAACACTAGTTCACAATACACCCGTGAAGCTATACAACAACGGGCAACAACAACAGCACCACCAACAACCGTATGGCATGCTAACGATTTCGTAGCGATTTTTGTCGATGTAGTTGTCTTCACGCTACGTTGTCAGTGGTTATGAGTGTGTCGGTTATGGAGAGTAGCGAGCGCACACCGTTTATTTGTTGGCGTATGTAATTCACATTCGATTATGCTTGTACACTATGCCGTTTGTTCTTATGCTGAAGTGGATAAAGTGTATGCACGTTGTTTGTATTGGATAGTGTATAACCTGCTCAATAGTCGGTTTATTTCGTTGAAATGATGTGAAGACGAAAGAAAGAAAAATAAACATGCTTCTTTTTTTCCGTTGCAACCACAACCGAAGGGTTGTCGAAATTCGAAACTTTATGGCGATAAAATATTTTTCAAGTCAACACCAACAACATTTTTCAATGAACAACACAAAAGAAACCACGTGGAATGCATTTTTTGAGATTCCTTACGAAATCTGGCTGCAGACATTCTTATATTTTGAATAAGCGATATTTGTAGAACCGACCAATTTTTTATTTTTTAAATTCATAAATTAATTCTTTTGTATTATGCAAGCATGCAAGCTCAATCAATTGTGTCGCTTTTAAGCTTTCGTCGACATTTGAAATGTTCGGAATATTTGAAAATTGAGAGCGGCATCTATTGTACGCAATATGCAAACACATTATTTCAGAGTGTAATGTTCTCGCACGAGAATTAATGAATATCCTCATAGATAAGTGTTAATCGAAGTCAACGTTAAATTATTTTCCATTTATAAGAAAAGTGGCTCGAATATATTTTCAATTTAATTTTTTCCTGAATTGCCCACAGACCTATAAAATTACCTGTGTTCCTTGCAAAAAAAGTCGCATTCGCTGAAAGAAAAGATGTTGTTGTTGATTGAAAGTCGTTTCGAACTGAAAATATCAAAATAAAAATTGAATAACACAATGGATTTTTTTTTTAATTTTTTTTAGTTTTTTCATCATTTTTATTTAATTCTATTTCAATAGATGGATACATTACTTAACGTTGGATTAATTCATTTCGTAAGTAGCATGGAAAGAAGGACATATATTATGATTACTTTCTCAGAAAATAAAATAAAACCTTCGAACACAAAAGCGAGTAATACAAAATGAAAGTTATTTGAATAAAAAAAAGAGAACTGCTTCAAAACAACATTTTGATCGTAATATGTTGTTAAGGCATTTTCATCAGTCAGAATCAGAATTCAAACTGATTATGACCACTACAACGCGGCAAACGAAGTTTGTTTGTTTTTTTTTTTTTAATTGAAGAAACGAAGAAAAAAAATAATTCTTTTTTTTTTTTGTATAAATGAATTATGAAGTGCAGAATGTATTTGAAGCTGACATATGATGAGAGCTAATTAAATTGCTATTAATTTAGTCGACTTCTTCCATGTGTGATGCATCTTCTGCATCATCAACGAGTGGTGGTACATCACTGGTGGCTGGTGTATCTTCGGCGGCCATTGGTTCTTCTTCGTCGATGCCAAGACCCAATTTGATCATACGGTAAATGCGTGATGCATGAACTTGTGGTTCGGGCAATGAGAATCCGGATGAAAGCAAAGCTGTTTCGAACAACAAAATGACCAAATCCTTGACTGATTTATCGTTCTTGTCGGCTTCGGCTTTTTGGCGCAATGTTTCGACGATTGCATGGTCTGGGTTGATTTCCAAGTGCTTTTTACCAGCCATATAGCCGAGTGTTGATGTATCACGCAGGGCTTGAGCTTTCATGATACGTTCCATATTGGCTGACCAACCATATTGAGATGTAACGATACAGCATGGCGATTGAACCAAACGATGTGAAACCACAACCTTTTCGACTTTGTTGTCCAATACCGATTTCATGACTTTGCACAAATTTTCGAATTTAACTTTGTCATCTTCGCGCTTCTTCTTTTCCTCCTCATCTTCTGGCAATTCCAAACCTTCTTTGGTTACCGACACCAATTGTTTGCCTTGGAATTCTTTCAATTGTTGAATGACGTATTCATCAATTGGTTCTGTCATATAAACAACTTCGTAGCCACGTTTCTTGAGACGTTCAACAAATGCTGAATTGGCAACTTGTTCGCGACTTTCACCGCTAATGCAGTAAATGTGCTTTTGGTTTTCCTTCATACGGCTAACGTAATCAGCCAATGAACAGTATTCATCGCCCGATGCTGATGTATGGAAACGAATGAGTTCGGCTAATTTGGTGCGATTTTGGCTATCTTCGTGTACACCCAATTTCAAATTCTTGTTGAATTGATCGTAGAACTTCTTGTAGCCTTCTTTGTCTTCAGCCAATTCTTCGAACAATTCCAAGCATTTCTTGACGATGTTCTTGCGAATAACCTTGAGAATTTTGTTTTGTTGCAACATTTCACGTGAAATGTTCAATGGCAAATCTTCGGAATCGACAACACCACGAATGAAGTTGAGATAGTCAGGAATCAAATCTTCACAGTTGTCCATGATGAAGACACGACGCACGTACAATTTGATGTTATTCTTCTTCTTTTTGCTTTCGAAAAGATCGAATGGAACACGACGTGGTACGAACAACAATGCACGGAATTCCAATTGACCTTCAACCGAAAAGTGTTTCACAGCCAAATGGTCTTCCCAATCGTTGGTGAGCGATTTGTAGAATTCACCGTATTCCTCTTGAGAAATGTCGTCGGCATTACGTGTCCAAATTGGTTTGGTCTTGTTCAATTCTTCATCTTCAGTGTATTTCACTTTGATGGTTTTCTTCTTCTTCTTGTCTTTTTCTATATATAAAATAAAATCAAACAAACAAAAAACACAACAATTTATTAGTTAATTGTTCAATGATTGGTGGAAAAAAGAATGGCGTACAATCATGAAAAATATTTCATTTAAATTTTCGACATATACATACCTTCCTCATCTTCAACATCTTCAATCTTTGGTTCTTCGCCCTCTTCTTTCTTCTCTTCTTCTTCCTTCGTTTCTTCCTTCTTCTCGTCTTCAGCTTCATCGTCGCTTACTTCTTGGTCGCGTTCTTTTTCAACCAATAATTTGATTGGATAACCAATGAATTGCGAGTGTTTTGTGACGATTTGCTTGATTTTGCTCTCTTCCAAATATTCAGTTTGGTCCTCTTTGATGTGCAACACGATTTTGGTACCACGTCCCAATGGTTCGCTGTTATCTTGGCGAATTGTGAATGAACCACCGGCCGATGATTCCCAAACGTATTGTTCGTCATCATTGTGTTTTGATGTGACGGTTACTTTATCGGCAACCAAGTAGGCTGAGTAGAAACCGACACCAAATTGACCAATCATACTGATATCAGCACCAGCTTGCAAAGCTTCCATAAATGCCTTGGTTCCGGATTTGGCAATTGTACCCAAATTGTTGACTAAATCGGCTTTAGTCATACCGATACCAGTATCGATGAGGGTAAGTGTACCAGCGGCTTTGTTTGGAATGATTTTAATATAAAGTTCCTTGCCACTATCGAGTTTTGATGGATCGGTAAGCGATTCATAACGGATTTTATCCAAAGCCTATACAAAATCAACAATAATTCAAAAAAATAACGATAAATATATGTGCAATGGTTCATGTCCATAACAAAGGCAAAAAATATTTCGCAAAATTCGATTGAAAAAGAAAAATCAATTAATTCAAAATGAAAAAAAAAAACATAACATTTAATTTGGCTTGACTTCAATGAGCAAATGCATTAAATATTGAGTCCACGTGTTTTTGCATACTCGTTCAAAACTCGTGTGAGGACACGACAAAGAAAACCGAAAGTGAAAAAACAAAATGGACGCAAGCCATTCTAACAAAAATCAATGAAAAATACTTACATCAGATGAATTTGAGATCAATTCACGAAGGAAAATTTCTTTGTTCGAGTAGAAGGTGTTGATGATCAATGACATAAGCTGAGCAATTTCAGCTTGGAAAGCGAAAGTTTCGACTTCAGTTTCTTCAGGCATCTATAAATGAGGCCAAGGCAAGAAAGAGAGAGAGAAAAAAATGTCCAGTTAGTCATACAGTTCTTAGAAGGAGAAAATGTGCAAAAATTTCTTCAAAAAATGATTATAAATTATTTTCAGTAGGAAGGCAGCATAGAGGTTTCAACATTTTTTATTCAGAAATGCACAATTCTATGTTTTGTCATCATAATTTATAGAAACAATGTAAATGAAAAAAAAATCGGTGTGTCTGCACCATAATGAGAACGTTCTCGAACGCTTATATGACGCGCACCCCATATAACCAATGCCATAGTTACTAACAATGACCGAAAAATCGAATTTTTCGCAGAAATCAATTTTATATTTTCAAATAATGATGAAATTTTATTTAAACAACATTAAATTAGAATTGTTCTATGTTTTTACGGGCAAAATGACTTGGTTACATGAAACACGTTTTTCTAACACGATGTTTCGCGAACATTCTCACGTTGACCGGCAAAATTTACACAAAATACAGAAAATTCAATGAACTTTTTTATTATATAAACGAAAATGACACACCAAATTTTTATTACAATATTAAAATTAATTGTTATACGCACCTTGATTACTTGGAGTTTTGTAATTTAATTCAATAAAAAAATCACACGAGAAAATCGTTTTTCTATTCAACAGAAATGATTCGCACTTTTTGTGTACTGGTGTTTGCTGTGGTTATAGCACAAGTGTTCACTTTGCTTGCTCAATTCAATATGACAAACCGCTGTACACTAGCCACCTATATATATGAAAGCCAACTAATGCAGCATTTCTTCTCGAAACGTCTAGAACAATCTAGAAATACAGACATATCCTTCCGGTTGCGGTCGAATATTCTGGACGCAAATATTTATGTTTTATGTATGAAATGAGGCAATATTTGGTGTTAAAAAATTATTTACATTTTTTTTTCATTCAAATATTCATCAGTTTTTCATGAAAACATGCGAAAATTCATCAAAATTTAGAAAAAAATGGATTGTTTTGACTTTACCGCTGTATCATTCGACAAACATGTCGTCGTTTTTCGAAGTGTCAAGAATGAGAACGTCGTTTATGGTTTTTAGTTCGAACTTACAGATGGCTCTGTCATATACACTACAAATCTGAGGATTTTTTTTAGTTTTTTTAATAAAAATCAATAAAAAGTATTCATAGTTTTATGAAATTTGATTAAAAATTCATTTTAAATTGTTATGATAAATTATAATCGGTGTTATTATCATAATTATTCATTAAAAAACACAAAGTTTTCATAATTTCATCATTTCATGTATAACCATTCTATGTGTCAGCAGTTACGAGAATCATCGTGAAACATGAAACGAAGCGTTATGAATATTCTCGAACAAACAAATTATTCTCGATGTACACTGAAAATGATTATTGATTAAAATGTGATTTAAAATACTTTCATCGTATTTGATTCGACCAAACGTCTCCATGGAATATCGTCGCCGACCGGAACAATTTCCCAGAATTGAATTTTTTTTTTTTTTCATTTTTTTTTTTAAATTCGCCGAAATCGTTTTAATTACATGATGGCAAGCAATACTTTTAATGCTCGTCTGAGAACATTATGTATGATTTTACTAGAAACTTCTTATAATTTCTGTATATAAAAGTAAAAAAAAACACTTTTTTGGTTTTCCTGTTAGTGGAAACATTGACATATCAGTTTTGAATGTATTATATCCGTGATTTGCGATAATATTACATACGTATATCACAAAAAGAAACATTCAATTAAAAGCCATTATTTATTGGGGATGATAAAATAATTTTTCTGCTTTTATTGATCAAACGCATGTAAATGAATTCAATGCATTTGTTGCATTGCAAACGAATTCAAGTGAATGGATTATTTCAGTGAATATGATTCATTTGCTATGAATTGCATGTTTTGTTTTCATCCAAAGCACAGTTTTATCAATAGGGTTTTTTGTAGAGAGGATCAAAAGAACGTCAATTTAAAAAAAAACTTGATAGTTTTGTTTAATAGTTGTTAAGAAAAAAAAACTGGTCACATAAATCTACATGCTGTTGCATTCAATCAAACCATACACATATTGGGGCGATGGTGCATCTCTTTCGGTCGGTTGATTCAGTTTGTGTTTATGAGTCTCTCTTTGAACTGGCGAACACACAACATGATCGTTATGCTAGGCAACAACAGTCGAATAGTCGGCATAGTGGAACTACGACGTTGTTTACATTTTCTTTTCTCCTCTATGCCACTTTGTGTGTACGTATTTTTCTTCACTTGAATTTTTTTATTAATTTGAATAGACTTTTTTTAGTTGGACATTTTTTTTTGTTAAGTGTATATTTTTTTTCGATAAGTTCTAGCTAGAATTCATTATTGAGCCCAGACGGTCATATGTAAATGTTATAGCTATTGTGTTGTTTTTTTATTCAAATTTGTACATTTCTTGGACGTATTTTGCGTGTGTTTTATTCGGTTTTGTGTGTTATTATTGTTCAACTTTGTATCGAAAGGTGTGGCAACGACAGTTTTGATTATGTGATCTTTTGAATAAAGAAAGTATACGAATCTTACAACAAAGTCGCATAACATAAACAATGCACAATGTGTTTTTTTGTTCGTTCACATGAATTTCATACCAAATACCAAGTGAAATAAAAACGTTTCATACTGAACACGAAGAGATGAACACATCGATAACTCAACTGGACCAAAACATATTGTTTCGATATTTCTTTTTTACTTCTTCCGATCCAAGTTAATTATCAATTGCATTTTGTAGTTATATTTCTGCAGTTCATATATGAAGCATACATAACGAAAAAAAAAAACTAGGAAAAAAATAGATTAAAGACTTTTATTTTCATTATGGGTGAGCACGCATGAAATGAATGAGCATGTGTATCGGTATGCAATTTCTGGTGAATTAAAGAAAAAATCCATTCCATTGAATTATTCGCCAATTATCCAGAATTGCTATAACCAAATGATTATCGAGTCTTTGTTTAGTAGCACAAACAAAAATTTCTTTTTTCTAAGAAAATCAATGGTTGGTCATGTCACTTAGATTTTCATTGCCATTTACGTTTCAAATCTAATACATTTCAAGTGTAAAGCACAAGATTCAGTCTTCCCACTGCTCGATTATTTTTAATCGCAGTGATCTCAGTTGTGATGACAACGATGACGATGAAGAAAAAATTTATATACTATAAAGTTAACAATTTTCTATGTTAATATGGACACTAAATATTGACACTTGTTGACCAAACCATAATTAGTACCACAACAGATCAGGTGATTTGAATTAAAATGTGTGTTGAGTTTTGTTTTCTAACTTCCATCATCAGCGTGCAACAGCTAACACACAAAATATATATTTATATTTGCGTGTAGGGAAAAAAAGTTTAGTGTTTATTTTTATGACGCTTATTTACGCTTTTTTTTGTGCCATGAATGATGATGATTGTTGAACATGCTAAACTCAATTTTGCTGAAGCTGAAACTCAAAAATTTTCTCGACAATCTCATTTGAATCGTTGTTTATTATTTTCCCCCTCTCTCTCTTTCTATTTCTCTCTATCTCTCATTATTTTCGCTTCTACGTTCATTCGAATCGATAATGAATCTATTGACGGTTGCAATTTTACTGACCTCATACAATCGAAACGAAATCTCTGTTTCGTGTGTTGCATATTTTTAGAACAAAGAGAACCTATTGAATACGAGCTATTTGATGAGAAAATTTCGCTCTTTTTTATTCCATTCTGGATTGTTCGGTTTTTTTCTTCTTATTCTAATGTGCACACTCGTCTGTTTATAATTTTCTCTCAGCTGAATATTTGGACTTTGCCTGTTTTTAAATGTGACCGCGATAGATAGAAATAGCGAATAAGAACATGATCAAAAGAGAGATAGAAGAAAAGAAAATGGCAATTCATGATATTTTAGTGCGAATAATTGCACAACAAATCGAATGAAATAGAAAATAGCAACAACAATACAATAAAAAAAGAACAAGACAAAATAGCGCATGATAGAAATTATTTAGCAAAAGAGACGATGTATGTGGTAGTTCAGTTGTTCTACAGACACCGCTTTTATTTAAAAAGAAACGAGAATCGAGCATTGGTCTATATTATTTCGCTTACATTTTAATTTCCACCGTTGAGTGTTGTTGTTATTGTTTTCTTATTGAATTTGCTATCGTTGTGCCGGTTCAACTAATACGGATAATTTTATTAATTTTATGTAATCATTTTTACTAGTTACGCATCATAACCACCAATGTGTATGACGAATAAGTGGAAGCCGTGAACATGGACTGCTAACACTATTTAGCTACAATTTTAGTAGTTCTCTGGTTTTTTTCTCTTTAAAATTTCTGTTTCCCTGGTGTTTGTACACCTGTTTTTTTGTTATTTACTTTAAAAAAAATAATGTTTGGTTTGGCGAATGGTAAATAGAATATCGGTTTAAATGAAGCCAAACCTTAAAAAACAACAAACGAATGATCATCAAACATATCATGCATACACGATCCAACAATATCAATGTACCACCCCAAACATAAATAAAGTCTTCATATAAGCGATATAGAAACATTACAGTGGCACTCCGCACACAAGCAGGTAGTGAATGTATATTGTTGTTGTTAAAGCAACGCTTCTTGTTATGAACAAGCCCTTTCCTGTGTGCAACACAATCTATTCAACGGTTTTTTTATTTCCATATTTCCTTCATTCAAATTATTTTTTTTTGCTCTCGTATCACATTTTGAAAAAAAATGTACTCACCTCACTTTTGACCAAAAAAGAGCCGCATTTTCTTATCTCGTGTTCTTTTTTTCGCTTTTGCTGTAAGAGTTTAACAAGGTTTATTGTACTTGATACTTTATCACTGGTTGAATTTTAACTTGATTCTATACGGCACTAATTAAAAGGTTGATAAAAAAAGGTCAAACGCAGAGTAAAAGCAATAGAAAAAGCAACAATTTATCAAAGGCAACAATGTAAGAAATGTAGTTAATTAGGTTTAATAAGGAATACAATTATATCGGGCGGCGACAAGAATTTTATCAGATATATGGCTTAATTCCATTGCATGTTGAATTGCGCCAAAAGAACCCAAACTTAAAATAATAAAATATGATTCATATCGTAACATTGTTCTTTTCCTGAAGCAAATGTCATTCATCTTGATTATTGTTGAGTTTTTTTTTTCATTTCATTTTTCATTTTAAAACCATCATAATTGCATGAATGATTAAAAATTAATGGTTCGAGTTGGAAAAATTAAATTCAATTAGAAAGGTCAGCTATAAAATTCTTTTACCCAAATGAATAAATAAAGAAATCATATAATGTTAATGAGCCAAGAGTGAAAAGAAAGGAGATGAAATTAACGGAAAGAAAAGAAAGGAGAGAAAATTGTGTGCGATGCAAGTGAAGGCACGCGTTTAAAAATTGATGCAATACCAGTTCACTTGTAAACACGTTCAAGTGTTCACGTGAAATACGCCGCACTGAAAGCGAAATTGAACTGACTGGTGAGCTATTTTTGAACCGAATTTTTGCAATATCTGAGTCAGAAGAGTAGCCTGAAAAATGTGTGATAAAAACACACGTGTATGATACTTATTATAGAATTGGATGCGGTGCATAGTTTATAAAAGTCCACATTTCGATTACAATTGATAAAAACACTTGAACCAGAAATGAATCCATATCGTAAAATCAACAAAATCGGTAAATGACCAAGAAATCCGTCTGGTCATAAAAGAATAAAAAAAAATCGATTTGCTATGTTTTTATTGTGCACTAGTGAAGTGTCTTTTCTTTTGTTTACAATTTGTATGTATGAAAACGTGACTGTGTTCTCAAATACGATAACCACTTGACTCTCTGATATTTAAAGCAAAATGACTAGGATCATTCATGCACTTTACGGGGATATTTCGAGTAATACATTTCGACTGGTGTTCATTTACAGGAAGAAGTGAATTTGGGACTGAAAATGGATCCAAGCGTTTTGACTTGTCTGATTGGCGTACTGTTTGTGGTGGTGCTGATTGATGCACAAAGACGAGGTGAATGTTGTCAAGATTATTGCTATAACAGTGATGATGAACGTCAACAATCAGCTCATTTTGCATCGAAAACATCCTATCTGGTCGTTAAGGGACCGGAGACAGGCAAACAATATGTCGTTCCAAGTGAGTTTCAAGCATTTTTTTATTTTCTGTTCTAAATGAAATTTAATTATTTTTGTTTTCTTTTCAAATTTCAGATTGTAATCCAGTCAAAATTTGGATTTATTCTCGCCACGGCACTCGTTTGCCAGAATGTAAGTTTCTTTATTTAATTTCGATTTCAAGTTTGCCAAAAATTAAAGTATAAATTAATGAAAAAAAACTGTTCTCATTATTTTAAAGCTGATACAATTTCGCGTCTGAGTCAACTAGGAGATTTGAGAGACGAAATAATCGATAATTATGAAAAACGACATTCAAAACCAACCATTGGTCAAATGTGCGAAGCTGATCTGAACCTTCTAAAGGAATGGCAATGGAATCGGTATGCAATCTTGTGAAAAATGACAATTTTGTTTTCTATTTGATATAAAGAACATATGAATGACGAGTTTTTTTTTTATTCAAACAATTCTTTTAGTAATATTACTGCCAATTACTCTGAGTACTTAACAGTGCAAGGTACGTTGACATCATTTTGACGTTTTTTTTATTTTAAAATTTATTTTACTTTTTTTTTGAAATTATAGGTTGGGATGAATTGAAATTTCTTGCAATACGATTTCAACGGTTTTTCCCAAATATTTTGGAGAATATTTATGACAGAGAAAAGTTTTTATTCCGATACACCAATTCACAACGTACAGAAGCCAGCTATAAAGCCTTCGTCGAAGGTAATAAAAACAAACAAGGTGCGGTGCAAAGATACTAATCAATAAACATCTATATTAATAGGTCTCTTTGGTCCAAATGCATACCAGCACGTTGAAGTACCTCCACTACCAATCAATGACACATTACTTCGGGTATGATTCAATTCAACTCCTTCTTTTATTTTCCGAACAAAAATAATAATATCTCTTATTTTATCCCTTTATTAGCCGTATGACTATTGTCTACCCTATGAAAATAAACGATCCAAAGGCGATGGAAGTGAATATAAGAAATTTTTGAAATCACAAACCATAACACAGATGTTGAGTGATGTGTCTGCTCGTCTGGGCTATAAGTATCCATTGAAGCTACAACAAGTAACGGATATGTTTGAAATGTGCCGATATGATCAAGCATGGAATATAGACCGCCCAAGCCCATGGTGCTCAGCATTCACTCCGACTCAAATCAATGACTTGGAATATATGGAGGATCTGCAAAAGTATTATAAAAGTGGTTTTGGGAGCAAATTAAATTCTCGTATTCAATGTACTGCCGTAAATGATATGCTTCATCATCTTGACACCAACAATCTTCCAAAAACTATCGCATATTTCACACACTCCAAAAGCATGCTTTTACTGTTAACTGCACTTCAAGCTGCCAAAGACTCTGATTCGCTTCGTGCCGACAACTACTATAGCATGTCACAGAGAAAGTGGCGCACAAGTAAGATTACACCATTCGCATCAAATTTGGCGGTGGTCAAGTATGATTGTCCAAACGAGTTGGAACGCGATAAAGTCATATTCTTCCTAAATGAAATACCAATTTTCTTTGATTGGTGCAAAGTCGGTCTATGCAACTGGAAAGATGTTAAACAACGCTACAAAGAGTTTACAGAAGTCAATTGTGATAAGTACTTCTGTGATGATTCTGGTGCATCAAGCATATTTTCGACAATTGTTTCCGTCTTAGTGCCGTTGACTTCTATTATATTCCTCAAATTGATGACATAATCAAAATATACCTAATGTTGAGTTTTATTGCTCAAATATATTCGTAGATAAGATATTTATAACATCAGTCGGCACACAATCACAGCCCAATCAAAATTTAAATTATCAGGCCCGTCCAATAAAGCTTTAACAACATTTTTTTTGTTAATTTCTAAGTATTCTCATTATGTATTTTTTAAATGATTAGATTTTTATGAAGTAGTGAGTATTTTTTGGTGTATTTAGTTATAAAATAAACATTTCAACCAGCTTTTATTGTATGAAGTTCTTTTTTTATTTAAAAATCATGAATGATATGAATTTCAATGTTTTTTTACAACTGACCCATAATTTAATTGACGATGAGTTCGATTTTTTTTCTTTCAATTTTTTAATAAATTATATTCGTGCTCGTTGTTACCTAAAAAATGACAAGATAAAACCTTAATTGTTAGTTATTCAAAATCCCTCATTTATCACACATTTATGCCATAAATGTTGTCACAAAATTGATATCAGAGATTTTCTTAAATGTTTTTAGTTGAACGGCGTGATATCCAGTAACATTAATTTATACTAAATTTTTAACTTTACATTGATATCACAAAGAGTCGAAAATTGAATTTAACAAAAATTAAACTTTCTTACTTGAATGCATTCCGAGACAACTCTGCGTCTCATCATCAGCATCACGACTGAAACGCTGGTGTAGACATTGATTAGTAAATAATTCTTTATACAAAACACTCACAGGAGATAACGGTGATCCAGATACCAAAGGTAGGAAACAGTTAAATAGCGTTAATCTAATCGCTGAATCAATCATTTACCGCGAAAACTCTGAATAATACAAATGGTGATAAAAAATTTTTTGGAGCTAAATAAGCGCAATATTTAACCGTTTTAATTTTTGTAAGTTTAATATTTGCTGCCGCACTGGCTGATGCTCAAAGACGAGATGAATGTTGTCAAGATTATTGCTATAATAACGATGATGAACGTCCACAATCAGCTCATTTTGGATCAAAAATATCCTATCAGATTGTGAAAGGGCCAGAAACAGGCGAACAATATCTCGTTCCAAGTGAGTTTAAATCATTTTTTTCTCATCTCAAGATTTTCTATCAATTGTTACTCATAATTTTTTTAAAGATTGTAATCCAGTCAAAATTTGGATTTACTCTCGCCACGGCACTCGTTTGCCAGAATGTAAGTTTCTTTATTTAATTTCGATTTCAAAATTACTTTAATAAAAAATAGACTAAATAAAATATTTTAATTTTACATCAATTGTATTGAATACATCGTTAATATTCAAGCAAAATAAAAACAAATATAAATTATTATCATACTTGTTATTTTATTTATGACGTAAATTAAATTATCACATATTCACTAAACCATACACTTGCAGCATTAAAATTTATTTCAATTCAAATAAATTGTATTTTATTTTTTATATTATAAGGTGTCATAGCATGATGTGTCCCTCCAGACTTGGGTCGTGAAGATATCATCTAACAATTGATACGTATCATACACGATTATACACGATTGCTGTATTTGAATAGCAAATCAAGTGGCATTAATGGTCGTATTTAAGTAAATCGAAATTTTTTCCGATTTTAAACGTTTTTTACCAAACGAAGAGATTGATCCCAATTGAATGTAATACATTGAATTTGACAAGAGATCATAGAATTCGTAGAACGTGTGCGTCTATTAAAGAGAGACAAAAATGAAAATAATTAAATGAAATCAATGGAAAATTATACGTTCACTTGGTTCATTCTATTTTACAATTGGCAATCGCAATTTTTCCATGACAAGGCTGCCATTGCCTTCATTTATATACAGTGAATATGAAAGTTCATCTGAAAATAAATAAATAACCGTTTTTAAAACATATGATTTGTTGTTGATGGGTTTTGCAAATAAATTGTTTCTTCACATTTTTCAATGGGATATTCTGAGCTTGGTTCCTGCCATTTCAATCTAAATTAAAGTAAAGTACAAGAACGATTATAGTTTATGCATGCTAGTATGTTAATTGATTAACCTTGTGTACACACTGTTGTTGACTGTTAATTTGGGAATTGAATCAATCGCTAAATTGGTGGGCGGTGAAACGTGTTTTGGTTCTGTTTTGTATAAAAAACAAAATTTATTATTGGTATTTTTTTCTTCTTTCAAGTTGAATTATTACTTTCATTAAGTTGGAATACAGTCGTATCAGAGCATCCTCTTGTGCCATTTCCATTGACTGCTAATACTCGAAACTCATAAAATCGTCCAATTTGTAGTGTGATCAAACATGAAATTCTAGATTGCGTGCAGAACGAGAAAGAAAAAAATTGCAATTTCAATATTGATAAAATGATGTGTATAACGCCTAATATACGCACTTGGAATTGTGTGAGTGCATTGATTCGATATGGAAATTCTCTGTGTTTATCGCAAACCACTGACCCATTTTGTGTTTGGAAAATGTGTAACCAATGTGCGCACGTGCTTCAACAACATAATCGATTTGTTCTTCACGCCGACTGTGCGCTATTCGCATGAGCCAAGTTATTTTTGCTTTTCTTCTTGCCTCGTGTTCCATGCTAATCACACTGATATTTGTTGGAATTGGTAATAGTGTAAATGTCGAGACACGATTTAAATTTTCAGCCATTATACATGAACGATTGCAATTGTTTATCCAGCAGCATTTCTGGGCCGCCGAACACCTGCAATGATTAATTTTCCGAACTTGATCACTTCAAGTTTTGTTCATATGTGTGGTGTGTGTGTGTTTATGTGTTATGTCATGCATGTTTGAAATTCTTAAAGTGAATGCAAGTCACCTATAATCTTGGCCATCACAATCATCAAAACAATTCATTCGTGTATTATTTGGATATTTCGGGCAATCTCCAAATTTAGTTCGATGTTTCATTTGTTCGATGCAATATTCCAAATCACACTGTACAATTAATATTATCAAACGATAAATGGAAATTCGAAAAAAAAAACGACAACAACAAAAACAACAGCAAATTGCTAATTGAACGCAATAAACTTAAAAAAAGCCATATTGGCACACTCACGTTTAATTTAGTTGCATCGCAGAACTTCATGTTACAAATTTTAAGAACAAGATTTTCATCGATATCAAGAATAGCACTCAACACATTTTCATGAATAGTATTCAAAACAATTATAAACAACCACATTCGAAACAGGTGCATTATCAATACTTTGAATGGCAACCACTTTAGATAAATTCGTTTAACTTTTCGTTGAATGTTAAAATTCGATGAAAAAGATGCGCTTTTTTTATCAAATCCACTTCTAAAACAAATTTAAGAGGCAGCCACATCACCACTGTCCACTCGAACAATCGAACATTTAAAAATAAAATCAAATATCAGCTACAATAATGTACATACGGGTTTAAAACAGTTCAATGACTTTGCCAAAAAAAAAAAATAGATGAAATGAATAAAATAAATCGCATTGATTACAGTAGCCGGTAAATTTTTGTATCGTATGCTATTATGAAAACCGCTTCAAATAACTACTTAAACATCCAATGAACTCGGTGTGGTTGACGCATCTCGAACCATCGAAAATACATGGACGCGCTTTTGCATGCGAACATTATTGAAATTAAGTAGGCAAAACGAGGAAAAAAGAAATATTATATTATCATCGTGATCGTTAACAAGCACATCGCTAGAAACTGGTTTACTTAGTTAGCACACACTCAGAATGCAACGAATCTATATGTATAAATATAAATACGAACACTCATTACTCTTTATGGCCGCGTATCGCGGTACTGATTTGTTAGAATGTATGATGTGCACACACACACACACACACGTACACACATGCATACTTGCACGATTTTGATCGCAGTTTGTTCGTCAAGCAATGATCATCGAACTTCCGACAAAATACGCTCATTCCTAATAACATCAGTGCCGGCATCATATTGATGATTTTAATTAAGGCCAATTGATTGGAAATCTTATCCCATTCATCAAAAAAAGAGAAAAAGACAAAACGTGAACACAAACGAGTACTGCAACATTCTCTTGATCTTGAAATAGTATAATTGAATATTGATACTATGTGATTTGAAATATACTATATGACAGAGTGTATGACATTGACTGCGGATGTAAGATAGATTTTAGCGCAAAATGTTCAATTAATTAAAATCAATTTCTATATACATCAAAACAAGAACGTTTATTCCTCATACAAAAATGCATTTCTTGGCATTTGTTCGAAGAGCGGGTATATTCTTTGTTATTCAAAATCTTGAAACAAAATTATATTTACTTAAAACTAATTAACGGCACCGGTACCCATTGCACCAACTGAAGTCTCTTCTTCGACTTCCAAAAAGCATCGGGTGAGTACATTTCTGTAATGGAATCGAGAAAAATTCAAAATGATTCAAAAAATTTCAACGAGATTTCAAGAAAAAATTGAAAACTTACACGTCATTTGGATCCCATGGAATGCATTCATTTTCTGTTGGTAATTTTGACGATGGTAAATTATTGTATATGCGAATCTTTTGCTCGTGTTCGTTGAATGACTGCAAACCGGCTGCCGATGGTGGACAACTGAGAGTTTCATAAAGATGTCTTAATTGCACGAAATGCTGGCCAAATGTAACGCGTTGCGTTGAATTATTATCATTCACAGTTGCACTCCATGTCAAACAAATTGTCATATGTGGATCGGCGGTTGATACAATTTGATTAAATTCTTCGCTATTGCTAACTAGTTTCATAACACTAATGAATTTTGTTTCATTTTTCATGAGAAAACTATCCAAATTCATTAAACTAGGTATATCACGGTCAATAGTTGTATTCGCTTTAATGGCAATGCCTGATAATCGATTCCGTACAAAGTCCAATGGATTTGTTGCTGGCACCAATTGCTTTTCATTCTTTTCGAGCAAACATCGAAAGCCGATCGATTCATTGATTCGCAAACCATTATTCTCATGCATAAGACGAGTATAGCCGGGACTTTGGAGGTCTGTAACAATGGATTTTTTTTTCAATTAATCTATATATTAAAATTAAAATTGACATTGAGCAGAAAATTACATTTTATACTATCATGACTTAGTTTGTAAACCGGACAAAACAATTTGATATCACTCAAGTAGATTTCGGTGACGAGCGCATGATGAACTTGATTCTGGTTTTTAACGTAAATATCAACACCAAACTGATCCGATGCAGCAATGTTGGGTGTACAAGTCGCATCAACACACAGTGATTCATTTACATTTAAATTCCATGTATGACGGACCAAACGGTATCTACGGTGTTTTATAAGCAAACAAAATGAAAGAAAATATATTCGGATTATTTTTGTTTGAATAGTTTTTTCATGGTTAAATTAAACTCACCGAAGTTTTGGATAATGTTCAGGAGTTCCATAGTAAAATAATAGCTTGAGTGTTGTTTGACCTTTTTTGTATGGTGCTTGAAGCCAAATTGTTACAGTTTTTCCTTCTTTTGGCTGTAACACTCCACCTGATGTCGAGAACAATTTAAACGCATGTTGCTTACATGCTTCTCTATCACGACCCAATGTTTCATTTGTGAGATCTTTGAAATCTACAAAAAAAAATATTCAAGTAAATGTGTTTAATTCTCTTAGTTAGTCATATTTTGTATATATTCGTTACCTCTTAATAATGATAATGGTAACTCTTGACTATTTAATTCGCCTAGGATCCAACGTGGTTCGTCTGCAACCACCCAAATGTCATTCAATGACTCAGCGCCAGCATTTGTTAAATAAACGGTAATCGGTATTATTTCGCCGGCTAACACCTCCACAGGTATTTGAGTGAAGCTCACATGTAGTGCTGGTGCTGGTGGTAATATCGTTAATTTTAATTTCTTATCATATTGAGGTGGTTTATCGGCCGATGATGGTCCATCTGGTTTAATAATTGGCGCTTCAAAGTCAATTTTCCCCCATAAGCTTGATGTCTCTTTTGTTGCCTGCACAAAACAAAAAATCATTTCATCATTTCGATTCCGTTGATTTCATTTTATTCAAATAATCTTACCAATTTGCCAACAACGGCTTGAATATCCAAGTTTCCAATGTGATGTGGTGTTAATTTCATCACAACAACTTTCTTTTCGTGTTCATTTAATTTTATTTGCTTAATAAATGTGGACGCGACAATATTGTAAATGCTATTTCGGTCATCGATGCCAATGTCATTTTTAAATAAATTTCGATTTGTAAAAACTTCACCATTTTGATTTGTAAACGTCCACAGTATATTGATATCGTCAAAAGTAATCGGCGGCTTTATTGTATTTTCTAATGCAAAACTAATTTCAACGGGTTCTACAGCAAACCGATCGATTGAGAGAGAGAGAGAAAAAAAAATTAAATATTTTTATTATGCTAAGAGAGAAGATGAACGTACCTCCTTGTATGCTGAGCGGATTTTCAGTGGTCGGCAATTGATATGTGAATAATGATCGATTTGGCTTAAAAACCATAATTGGTTTGTTTGTTGCAGACTGAGCGGCAATCCATTCCAATCTATTCCACTTCCACTCGTCGGCCGCCTCATTTTGATTCATATTAATGTTAATATTCGATGCGGCCACCAAATTTGGAACTGTAATCGGTGATGGACATGATATTAAAACACGAACTGATGTTTTGACCACCTTCGGTAGTCCAATGTCAAGCAACGTATCGGAATTGGTTTGTTTCAAGAACATTTTTTGCGTTGCAATGTATTCGCTTAAGAAAGATGCTTGTTGGGATGCACTTTGTAAATTGGATGGACGCAAGAGATGTGCCAATGCCGTAACAGCTTCATCAACTTTCTTAAGAGTTATTGCTTGTTTGCTCAACGTATAAAAAATGTGACTTTCAGCTAAATCCCATCCACGATTTTGGAATATTTGATTTGCTTGACGATAGCAACGGAACGAATGTTTTCGTTGGCCAGATTTTGAGTATCTATATCATTTTTTGTTGATTATATTATTAATGATTGATATTTAAAAATTGATGTTAAATTTGTTTACTCACCGATGACCAGCTAGAACCACATGAAATGCATACTTTCGAAATTGACGTGGATTTGCCTTTAAAAATAAATAGGCCGATTGTTCGAGCAGTAAACCTGACATCAAATCCTGATCCGTACTTGTCATTCGGATAAATTGCCGTGCACCTTCCGTGAAAAGTTGCGATGATTTCAATAATTCAACACTCAGCAGCGTGCATCTTATAGCCAAATTTTGAAGTCTTTTGAGGAAATAAAAGTTTTTTTTTATTGTGTACAACGAATTTCGACAAAAATGTGAATACTCACTTGCATTGATTTAAATAAACTACAATTGCCTCTTCTAAGTAACTAAATGCTATGGGAAAGTCATAAAAGAAATGAATGAAAATTAATAAAGAACATGAAAATGAAATGATTTTTAATCAATTGATACGCTAAAAAATGGAAAATTACCTTTCGCGTGATTCTCACCTCGGCTATATGATTTTTGATTCGATGCGTTTGTTGTATTCGATAAAAATGCAGATAAACCTGGAGATTATTTAAAACAAATTTCTTTTAGTTCATCTTTTTTTACCAAGTGTATTGTTCGGATCATTTTTCTTACCTGCCATCTCCAGTGCACCAGCATAATATTGCCATGCTGAATCGACTTGAAAATCGCGTTTTACTTGATGATATTGTTGAAAGGCTTGCGAATAGTTACCAAATAAAAAGTGTAAATCACCTAATTTTCTCGTTTGTAATTCAAGCGATGAATCACTTGAGTATACGACTACATTTTCGTTTTGTGTACTTGCACCAGGTTTTGTGGCAAAGAACCGTTTTGTTGCGCTCAACAATGATCGACTGACGCTCTTTTTGTTCGAAACCGTATCGTTGAGTAAGATAATTTGCCGTTCAATATATGGAATCAGTGCCCGTATACTAAAATCCTGTACTAAATGCTTAAGATTATCGATATCTACGGCAGTTAAATAAATTCCACGTTTCACATCCACATCCGATTCCCATACATTCGGATTCACAATCTGTGTTTGCGATGATAGACTGTCTAGACTAGATGAGAAATTCGAATGCTATCGAAAGATTTAAGAGAAGAAAAAAAAATAGAATCACTCAAATAATAATATCGAACTAATCAAGTGGTCTCTTACAATAGTATCAGAAAATTGTTCTTGTGTGGGGCTAAGTGGATGATCTACCATTTCTTCGGCAGCAATACCTGATGGGGGAGTTTCTAGCGTGGACATTTGAACGGTCAATGGCATTGATGATAGACTGGTCACGTCTTGTGGTGTTTTTGGTGCACTTCCTGAATCCGATGTTTCATCCTTCAATCGCAAAAATAACATAAGCGTGACATAATAAATTTGAGAAAAAAAGACAAAAAATAGCTACCATTTTTGGTTGTCTCCGCAAAAATTTCACCCATGGATCGAGAACATCGTTGGATGAAGGTGTTTGTTGTGAATTTATTTGTACTAAAAAGCATTTATTGTCACCAAATGTTAATTTCAACGACTCGAAGGCTTGTTGAGCACTATAACATCAAATTAAATCACACGAAAAATCGATTAGAGATTATGAATTTCAAAATAACTGAAGTAAAAATTCGCTTACCTAGTTACATTGCCTTGTGTTGGATCATGCAAGAGAACATAGCAATTTAGTGCGTCTGGTGTGAACCATTTCGGAACTTTTGGTGGTGTTGTATTTTGCATCACTTGCACTTTGCGTGTTAGTAAATGGGCTGTTTCCAACGAATTCGGATCATTTGTTGATAGGACAATGAGACAACTTAGAAAATGTCGTGTAAATTCGTGATCAGATTGTGATTGAATCGATAAAAATATTTCGCGCCATTGTTCGAACCATGGCTCTGAAGTTGGAATGTCAATGAACGTTTTTTCTGTGTGTCAATAAAAAAAACAATGAACGTTTATTGAATGTATTTTTTTTGGTGAAATATCTATTAAATCTTGTCAATAAGAACATACCGTCAATTTGAATTGGTTTCGATTTTGTTGATTGGGCTGCAGTGACTGTGTCGGTGAGCATTTTACGTGCAACCATTGTTTGTGGCGGTCTCCAGTTAACATCGCAGAAATTCAGGCGTATGCCTTTGACTGATGTTGATGTTCCGGTGGCATCACGAATATAAGCTAATTTTTTTTATTCAATACAAAAGAAGACGCATTACACATTTAACACACGCACAAATCCAATATTCAAATCAATTATACCATCATTTGTGAGTTTACTGAATGGTTGCAATAGTTCAACGAATGAAAGATTATTTTTGTAGCATAATTCATCTGCTTGTGGACTGCAAAGGACTCCAATCAATGGTGAAAATACGTTTTGTATCATTTCCTTAGCGGATAATGTTTGCGACGTTAAATGAATCATTTTGATGTGATTTGTATGTTTCAATCAAGTTTATGCTATTTTTTTTAAAAATAATTTAACACTTGGAAGTACTGTAACTGTGTGTATTCTTTGAAGATTTAGATTGGATGTTATTGCACCAGTGCCAGTGACCAAATAAACGAAACCACTTCGTCAAATAAAAAAAAGAAAACAACAGAAAACAAAGTAACATACAAATCAAAGATTCAATGAATCCTATGCATTGTTCCTGGCCAAATCAATCGCAAAACTTAAACACTACATTCAATTTATCAAATGGTATTCGTGTCGCAACAAAGTCCGCCTATATATCGAATTGTTGGTTTTTCATTAAATACCAATACAATATCACTGAAACATTTGACGGATTTGACATTACGTAGCATACGTATTTTGATGCGATTGGAATCTGTCAATGGTTTCGTATAGCGTACTCTTTTTCACTCTTATACGAATACCATCGGTGATATCATTGTCAAAGCATACAGTGTAGTGCGATTCGTAATACATTCTCTGAATTCGTATTTTCCATGCGACACGAACATAAAAATCAATCCGACGCGTACACGATAGTAAGAAAAATTAAGTTGAATTTTGAGTGATTTTGATTGAAAAACGCAAAAACATTCAAGATGATGAACGATATAGAAAAAGAGCAAGAAACCGAAGCAAATCGTTGGATTAAGTTTGGTATGCGAATGGGTATCAGCGCTGGATTGCATCCTTTTGAGTATGCAAAAGTTTTGATACAGGTACATTTTATAGCAAAATGCAAAAACAACAAAAAAAAATAAAGCGGACATGTCCGTTTAGCGTGGCCTTGATTGAAATTCATTTGACCATTTCAGATTGGCTATGAACCCATTGCACCACGGCCTGGAAAAACATTCTTTGGAAGACCGACACTTATTTTACCAAACATTTTTGAATACGGTAAATTTTTGAAATTCAAACATTTCAGCAAATTAATGATTTTGTTAAAAGAGCATATGCGTTTTTTTTGGTTATAGTAAGACATATTAAATCGGTTGATGGTATGTTTGGATGCTATCGAGGTTTGTCGCCGAAATTGTTGGGAACACTTGTTAGTGTATTTGCTACGGCAAGAATTGAAAGAAAATTAGGTTTATGTGAAAATGAAAATGAAAACGATGAAAATACCGAAATGCCCGACGAGTATAAGAGAAATTTCTTTAAAACGGACCAAACAAAAAGTGAACCTCCAAAAAAAGAAGGAAAAGAGTCTGCAGAAGATAGCGGTTTGTTTGTAGAAGAAACTGAAGACGAAGAAATGTAAAATAATGATTTTTCTTACCCGAAATCACTAATTTTTTTTTCGTTCACTCAATTTATTCGCTAATTATCTTACAGGTTTCGCTTGTTCATAAAGGCACTTAAACGTGACCTTATTGTGCATACAATAGGTATAACCATATCGCATCCATTTCAAGTTATATCGATTCGAATGATGGCACAATTTATTGGACGTGAAAAGATTTACAGGTAATAAAAAAAATGATATAGTACCGAATTCATTTGAATAATTATAACATTTTAATAATTATAACATTTTCAGTTCGATTTGGGGATCTGTGAAGGAAATATTTTCACAAGAGGGTGTCTTTGGTTTCTTCTCCGGATTAAAACCGAAACTAATTTCCGAACTGTCATGCATTGCATTGACCAGCACAACGTGCTACCTGGTCCACAAATACTATATTAGAGATTCAGATAATCGTAGCTACTTCAATGGATTCATTCAATTTATTTATGCCAGTTTCTTGTATCCATTTCAAGTCGCTGCCACCTGCATGGTTGTCACTGGTTCACGGTAATTTTATTTTTATTTTTGTTACACTATTTGGTTCAATTGATTTTTAAAAACCAATTTCATTTTTTCGTGTGTACATAGACTACAAGCTGGAAGTGAACCTCATATGCCACTATACAAGAACTGGTCACATTGCTACGATCATTTGAGATCCATAAATCAACATAAACGTGGTAGTTCCTTGTTTTGGAGGTAAACAAAAACAAAATAATCAACATCAATATTATGCGTTAATCTATTTATTAAACGCTATTTTATTTCGAATATCATTTATGGCAGATATTATTATCCACAACCCCGCACTGAATCAGTTGTTCCGTATCCAAAGTTGGCGGCCAACTACTAAACACAAGATGGATTGATAGAGCACAGGAACTAGAGATACGAAAGAGGGAAGAGAGACAGAAAAAAAAGAAAAGAAAATTCCGCAGAGCATTACATTATTCTGAATCTGGCACTTAGCTCAGCGTAGCCACATTTTGGTTGTTTGAAACAACAGAATTTAATTTAAAGAATTTAAAATTTAAGAAAAACAATACTAATACTATTTAGAAGACAAACGGATAATCATAGCAAGCATTTGTTGGTAGTGTTCAAAGAATTTTGAGAATCACGTTTCCAAAGAAATAATCTATTTTTATTAAAGTGAAAAAAAAAAATTACAAATGTTAACTATAAAATGGACAAAATGCGTGTTTTCTTACATTCTTTTTTTATTTATGTATTTCTTAGTGTTCGTTCTACAATTGATCGCCACGCGGAAAATAGATTTTTGGCAGATAATTAACTTACAGTACATAAATACATATGTTCATTACAGAAGAGAGAAAAAAAAGAAATACTAATAATAGTTGAATAAATAATAATAATAACAATTGGAAACTGTAAACGTTCTATAATGACACGTGCTATAGCAAAATGGTAATTATATGGCTTTCTTTTCATTTGAAATAATCGACATATCAATCATTCGATCGCTAATTTGTATAATCGATGAAAGGAACGTGTGAATGTTTGCGAATGAAAATCCAAGTACGGCTCCAACGATATTCGGTATTGGATATGCTTGCCATGGTCGATCCCAATCTAATGGTGCAACCACCGAACCAGCCCATGCTCCAACCAATGTACCGAATGCATTATATTGCAACAGCTCCAATTGCCAAATGTCAAACGTTGAATTCAATTCAAATGAATCGTAAAATAAATACTGTATGGTTTTCGATGGTCCCAAAAACAGGCCAATCGGTAAAATTGTAAGCGATGTTAGTAGAATGGATAGTGCAAGTGTTTCTTCATAATTTTGATAATACGGTGCTCCCATTAATATACATGTAACGATAAATACGACGACAAATGTCATCAACAGTGCACACAATTTACAATAATTTTTTATATGTGCCACCGTGGACAGATTTTTAGCTGCTGTTAATCGTGTGCTGGATATTGAGTACTCTTTGATGCTGACATCCAATCCAAATGAATATTTACTGATGCCCCAACGTAATAGTTCGCCAGCAGCCAATATTAATGTAATCGGTGAATACAATTTTCCCGTACTAATGAATTGCTCATCCTCGAAGAAGCATATTGTGCAAAACATTACGATGAAATGTGATAAAACGACATGTAAAAATGGAAATTTGATGGGAATTATTTGCTTATTTCGTCCAACCATCTTGACCAGCACTATGGAATAAGAAAATGTTTTGATGAGCCCAAACAACAAAATACTCAAATGAAATAAAATGAAAAACGATTTCGATTTTTACGTACCAATTGTGTGAATATGACTATTAACTACTATTAACAACTATTGGAACATCAAGTGGACTGTCTATTATTATCGCTTAGCACATGATTTGAGGTTGAATTTAATACATTTGCGACAATAAATACAGTAATTTTCTCATGAAATTTATGTGCTATGGATGCACCAACAAATTCTACAGATAAAATAAAAACTATACAAATAGTGACAAGAACGCATTGTCAAAATAAAAAAAATGTGTTGCTTTATTGTATCGATAGATAACGCTACGGTCGTCATACGAAAATTCAAAATGCTCATCGAATACTGTTTTTTCTTAAATAATAACTTATTATTATGAACGAATGAAACTATGTTTTTATGGACTCAAATCATTCATTTTCTCAGGTGCACATTCATATAACCGCAAAAAAGAGTGCCCAGACGATACACCATCGCTGGAAGTATCATTACGAACAAAGTGATCAAAGAGTGTAAAGCAATTTGAGTTTAATTTGAATACTTTTCGTTACAATTTCGCGCATCATCTTCAGCCATTACAATTAATTCAATTAAATAATGTGCATTGTTGAATACGCATATGTATATATCGATTTGAAAATTCGGACAATAAAGAAACAACTTGGATGTCCGATTCAATGTACAAAGCACAAAGTAAAAGCGGATGGAATAAATTTAAAGTATCTCAAATGGCTTTGTGGAAAGTCAAATGAAAGATTCGGGTTGTTTTTTCTTTAAAACATTATATTCGAATGTACACTTTGAACCTTTAATCTAACCATGCTGATAATTTGGCCGTAAGGCTTCTTTGTCCATTTACTTCTCTTTCATTTCTTTTTTTAAGAAACATATAAACCATGCATGGTTCGTATTGGTGAATGTTATATTGAACGTAGAAGAATAGATTAACAGCGTCAATTGTAATATCAAACAAATTTGTCTATATATCATATTACATGTACAGTGTACGGCTATTCTTCGCTTCTCGTCTCGTTTTTTTTTATTTTCATTTCAAATTCCTTTTGCCGACGAAACGAAGAACAATTTCTGTACAAAGTGAGAATAATGCCGAAAACCGATTTTCCCTCCATTTAATTCCAACTGTCCACTAACTGCAAACAACTTGAGAGATCCACATCATGGATGACTGATGTTAAACACATCCGCGTGTATTAATCTCGTGCACATATTTCGAATACCACTGCTCGCTGAACACAAACAGCGAACCGATTAGGTTGAGTCGGGCACAACGTAGATACGATCTCAGCTCATTTATGAATCAACTTCGACGAACTTCGAACATGCTTTCGATTTAGTCTCGGTTGCGTTACATATATATTTGTGGACACGCACGCACATACGAATTTTTTTTTTTTGGATATATTTACTGTCTTCAACGACCCAATTGAGTTTCACATTTTTGTTCGTTGGCAAAACTGTTAAGTGGATCACGTTTCGGGAGTTCAAAGAAAATAAAACGGAAACTTAATTTTTAGAAGTAGAGAAAAAAAAAAAACAGAAAATATTTGGCAGAATAAGTGAATCAATATTAAAGTGAAATCAAATATCAAAGTGGAAACTCCACAAAACAATGGAAAATTATACGTTTTAACAAGAATTTGTTGAAGTCAAAAGTGAGAGATATAGTGATGATGAACGCGTGGTAAATTAATTGCCGGGAGCCATTGTGTCTGTAATAATGTTTGCGAATAAAGCCATTTGAAAATCGATTTTGAGCATTTTTTTATTCGACTTTATAAAAATCATTCGCTGTTCCGATAACACAATTAATGATTCGCTTATTTTTTTTTTTCGGTGATAATGAAGTTATTTGGTGAACATTGATTATGTGCATAGATAGCTTAATCAGTAGTGCAATTGTGAATCTTATCGTTGCCTTTTGTTATGACGAATGGACTTTTCAATGGAATAAATATTTTGGCAAAAATTTCGAGATGAAAGCGTAAACACATGGATAATGTGAATGTCATATGGTTTGCAAGACATGTTTACCTTTTCGATTTTCACGTTGTTTGGCAACGAATTTGTTCTCAGAAATTGTGTACTAAGTATGTTTCAAGTTGAATTTGTGCATTCAAGAGGAAAATTGCGAAACAGATAGAAAGAATAAAATCCACCAACAACAAAAATAACAAAAATAAAACCGTCGATTGGATGGCTATTTTACCCTTCAATAGAATACATATCTGTAATAGACTTTTACTGTTGCTTCATATATTTTCTGAGTGACATCGAACGCAATGGAATGAATTATTATGCTATCTAAGCTTGTATGCTGTATATTTTCGATTCATAACATGAAATAAAAGAGAAGAAAAACGTGTGTTAATGTATCCACAAAACGAATTCAGTATCTCTTGTTTTTTTTTCGTTGTCACATCAACGCTTTTATGCATACGCACATATTCGTGGGATTTTGTAATCATTTGCATTCAAAGTGGATAATCATATGATGATGGTGTATTTTTTTTCCCAACGAATTTGATTTGCGTGAATTTAACATTCTCTTATCCCTTCCCTGTTCCATATATATATTTTTTTTTGGCGACCAATTAATCCAGCACGACTGTTCATTTGTCGAATTTTTCTTTTATCTTATCATGTATTGGATTATATTTTATCGACTTTCAAACGAAATTTAACAATTTTTTCGGCATGCACATAGTTTCAATATTTCCCGCTTTTTTTAGCTTTGAATTTCAACAGCAAATAAATGTTGACTTCAAGAGCGTTCATGTACCATTTAAGAAACGACAACAACCGAGAATTCAAAATAAAACTGTCTATGCTCTTTGCACACTGAATGCAGAAGATATTGAAAAATTCCTATGAAATATATTAAAATAAATAGAAAAAAACGCAACAACAAAAAACTTTGCGTAATATATATAAAGAGAATCCAGAAATTTCATATAGGTTGTGGCTTAAGCGAAATATTTTGGTACATGGACTATGGCTAAAAGAAAGAAGACTTTTCTTTGAAGCACTCTCTCACCAATTACATCTCATATAAGTTTCTTAACGCCACCGAACTTTCGGTGGCGTGAAGGTCATAAAAACACTCAGAACTTAAATGTATAAACGAAAGTTTTACGTTGAAGCAAGTATTAACTCTAAATACACTGTGATTTCATATAATAAAGTTTGTCATGAATGTGACTACAGCACATTTGATAATAACGCCAACATTCGCTATCTTATCCAATTCATTCACTTTATACCGTATTAATAGCTAATAAACGACTCCATTCAAGGTAACCAGCGTTATTGTTATTCCAAATTCTTTTCTTCTCAAGCCATGCAACGAATTTTCGATGCCTACTTATCTGGTTACGAATTCAAATAGATTGCGGTATTCTCCTTTTGCTCGTCAAGAACGTAAAGAATAAGTTGCATTGATTGCTTTCCCTCCTGGCCAAATCCTTATAAATAGATTCTTATGGTGAAAACAAATTCATTGATATCACAAAAGCTTTTTGTGTAGCCGAAAATATTCAACCTTCTTTCTACTCCTTATATTTGTTGTGAGTTTTTTTTTTTGTTTATGGTTTTTATTCAATTTTTCTTATAGCGCGTAGTATGTATATGGACTCAATAACATATCAACACAGATGTACATGCTTACGGTAAACATCCCGAATGAGTACAATACTTCAATAATTGAAGAATGGACTAAGAACAATTCTTATAAGTAAGTATCACTTCCCTTTATTATCTCTACCATCGAGATACGCATTTCCACGATTTTTTTTAAAGAGCTAAGCTTTATTATTTAAGCACTCAACCACTCAGTAGAGGAAAATCACTTATTGGCTGAATAGCAATGTCCAGAAAATGAAACATACAAACATTTTTTTACACTCTTGCAGACGCATGAGATGTCTACTCGCATTCGCAATAGCAAGAATTCTTGGAAAATAAAAAATAACAACAAATAGATAAAATTCTTATCGGTTTGTTTCGATCTCTCTCCTCTCGTTTGTTGAATGAAAAAGAAAAATGAATGGGCTAGATTAAAAAACCCACTCCGAAATAAAAATCTATTAAAGTGGAACTTGTGTTGGCTGCGAACATCTACGAACACTCGTTCGTTCGTTCGTAGCGATTTTTTATTTCAAATATTAAGATTATAGAGATATTATTAAAATTTTAATTTTTCAAAATCTACGAACGAACGAACAAAATTGTTCGTAGGCAATAGGAACGAACGAACGAATGTTTGTAACCAACCGTAAGTGGAACACAGCATTTTCAACAACAAAAATGCAAAAGAAATACTGTGTTCCATTTTTATAAATTTCAGGAATTGTTCCTCTTAGGAGGAGGCGCTGAGAATCCCCCTCCTCAAATGAAGTCAAAAGTTTTTTTTTTCGTTAAGAATTTATCACGAAAATATCTTTTTTGATCAAAAACGTTCTTCTCCTCGCCGTTCTTCTTCTCCTCAGAGGAACAATTACTGATATATGTATTTTTTATTTGAGGTCAGGTTTTATTCTAACCCAATCAAATGAGCAAAAGCATTCAAGTAAATTCTAAATATAATAAAAAGACAATACAAATAACCACGGGCCAATGATTCCAAAAAAAAAATGATTTACATTTTTCAGCATTTACTTCAAACAGTCATCTTATCAAGGTTACCTGGACCCTTTGTTTCTCGAGTCAATAAATATACATTGGATGCGATTCGTTCCGCCGAAGCCATGGGAACATTACACACTGGCAATTATCTATTTGTGCATAATGGTGTTTGGAATATTCGGAAATGCCTTGGTTGGGTACATGTTCTTACGGTAAGTAGTTGGCCCTAACTAATTTTTCCAGCTTTTTAACCATTTAATTCCCAATTCCATAAAGGTACCATCTAAAAAGGTACAAAATATATATATCACATTCCATGTTACTCGCTGCCATGCATATAATAGACGTTTTGAGCTGTCGTTTTTGAAAACAAACGTATAATATCAATTAAGCACAGCTTTTTGATGTCGAAAGCACCATAATCTTTCTTTTATTGAAATATTCAAGATAATAAGTAACCACTGCCAGCATTACTGTCACATGCACTATCAACTATTTTTTTTTTTTTTTGGAAAATTGGGATGAAGAACATAAAGCAAATATTTGAGCTGGATAAACTGTTTTTGTTAGCGAATAGTTGAAAATCATAGCATATTCCATTTCGTGCAACACACAAGTGAAACCAATTCGAGATACCGCTCCGAAATCGGTGTGTATGAAAAATGTCATACCGGTTCACTGTTCACTCATTTTTGAAAATACTTTTTTCGTGAAATCATTATTGCTCAATGCTTGTTGAAAATGTATAATATATTTGTCCATATTTTTGAGCGCATTTCAGTCAAGGGCATGTTTAGCATTTAAAAAGAAAAACCATATTCGAATTGAATGCTATTTAAGTTATTCCGACTCGATTCGACTTACGAAAATTGGATAATTTATTAGTGTGTGTATTTTAGGTCGTTTCATTTGCTGTACCTTATGATAGCAAAACTTTTTACTAAATGTAAATCTATCTGTGAAATTATTCAGTTTGTCCAGGACTTTGATTCAATTGCAACGAATTTTCGCCAGCTGCTTTTTAGTTACTGAATATTATTTGTACCAATTCGTATTGTTTTTGTTGAAAACGTTAGTTAATTCAATATCTTGTGTTGATAATATTAATCGGTTTGATATATAAGACAATGTAGTCTGATATATAAGATGATGACAAGACGGGGGGCGGTAAATTAAAAAAGAAGAAGTCAGATAGGGGGTAATTCCATTAATTCTGATTCGTTTGGAATTTGATGGAAGTAAAGAAGCCAAACCTGCCCCTATTTCTCCAATTAAATTGTATTAAACATGAAATAATTGTTGAGTGCATTTCTACCAATACGTATACATTGTCGAAATATTTTAAAGTACATAGTTATTAGTTGGATGATATATTATGAGAAGATTATGCGGATTTCAAATGTGGTGCGTCATATTTCAAACGTCAACGCTCGTAAATTCATACAATGCATTAAAAATACATTTATAAAATCGATAATAATGGATAATGAGAGAACAAACATAAATTGCGCTTAGATCCAAGATTTCGAGAAATTTAATTTAAAATTATTCGATGTAACTGACATTGGTCGCGATAGATCAATGATAAACAAATGATGAACAAATCAATGAAAGGTTTTTTCCCGCTTCTTCAATTTACATTGTTTGGAAAAGTTTTTCCAAACAAATTAGTTTGATGGAATCGATGAATAGAAAGAAAGTAGTTTTTGTGGTAATACTATCACGGTAATAGCTGTTGTCCGATCAATGAATGGCCGTGGTTTTGAAGAATTCTATAGGTTTACATAAAAAAAAACGACGTAATTTGCATTTCCATCGTAAATGATCAGGTTTCCAAAATTGCACATCACTCATATTGATTGAGTAGTGAGCTGTAACGAATGCAACGGCATTCAACAAACTTTATCTTATTCAGCTATACGCTTTCACGCTTCCATGCTACACAAGCAGACAAAGTTTTGATTTTGAAAAGACTTAGAGAAGAAAAAAAAAATACGGGACAGACACTTGGCACCAGCCAGAAAAAAATTATTGCAATCGTACCAAAAAATTATAGCTAGCGTTAATATTAAATATGATAAATATATTTCATTCAACTTTTTTTTTTATATCCTCGAAATAGATGCCGAATTTTGCGAACTTCAGCTAATATTTTGGTAATAAATCTGGCAATATCGGATTTTCTAATGCTGGCCAAGACTCCAATATTTATTTACAATAGTCTGAAGTTTGGTCCCATTCTCGGTGATGTCGGTAAGTTCTATTTTTTTGCAATTTTGCCGTTACCGGCTTTAAAACGTGCGACACTATCTTGCATGCAAATCATAAATGTATGAATCAAGCATATAGAGTGGCATCCTTTAATTTTTTTTCGGTTTTATTTTTGTATTTTCTTGTAGCATGCCGTATGTATGGATTTCTTGGTGGTTTGACTGGTACCGTGTCAATAACAACATTGACAGCAATATCGCTCGATCGCTACTTTGTGATTATTTATCCGCTAAATCCCCGTATATTGGGCAGCAAAAAATTGCGTCCGATTATCATGTTGGCATTCGTGTGGTTATACAGTTTTGGATTTGCCATAATGCCAGCACTTGATATGGGTTTCAGCAAATATACGCCGGAAGGTTTTTTAACCAGTTGTAGCTTTGACTATTTAGACGATCGTGCATCAGCTCGAATATTTATGTTTTTATTTTTTGTCGGCGCCTGGTGCATTCCGCTCACAATAATTGTCTATTGCTATGCACAAATTATGAAAGTGGTCAAAGCAACCGGTAAAATTCAATCGAGCCGAAGTCAAAATCGTGTTGAACGTAAGCTTATGATTGTTGTGGTAAATGTGATTGTTTTGTGGTTTGTGGCATGGACACCATACTCAATTGTTGCGTTGCTTGGCATTTCCGGGAAAAATGAGTATCTTACACCGTGGGCCAGCATGTTACCAGCCGTTTTTTGTAAAGCATCCGCTTGTCTCAATCCATATTTATACTCAATGACCCATCCACAATTCAAAAAAGAGATTTTACGCTTTCTTCATGCGAAATTTGGTATTGGCCATGGACCACAACTGACATCAACAGCAAAAACGATGAGCGTACGTTTTGTTAGCAGCAAATTTACGCGACGAACATCAAATATGGGTATGAATACGTATTAATGTTCTCTAGAAATGCAAGTCAATGTAACTACGTCAAACTAAAAAATGAATCACAATTCAAAAGAAAAATTTCAATTTGAGCGGATATAATGCCATTTGAACGGGATATTATTGATTTTTGATGTAACGGCATTTGAATTAGACAGCAAATTAGAAAGCAATTTTCATGAATGTGCAATGTGATTACACCAAGAAATTTAATTCTAATTTCTTGAGAAAGGGTATTGAGAATTATCCACCATCACACATGTACAATTACTATGGAATACATTGTGTGTGCTCTTGTAGAAGCAACATTTTCAAGCATTTTAATTTAATCTATGCCGAAGACGCTTTTCAAGCTGCGTTCGTCTGTAATACAAATTGGAGTTAGTATTTGTATTCACAATAACAAAATCCCTTTAGTTATCATACCCAACAATCTATCATGCGAATAATCAAATAACATCGAATCTTCATTTTCATGGAAACAAAAAAAAAGTTCATCACTTTTTCTAAGCAACCATTACCATTACCTATATAAAAAAAAATCAAGCAACAAATCAGTTTTCAACATTCGATTAGGCCCCCTAAATATTAAGTTCAGAGAGATAATCTTTTGGAGATATATTTATTTAAGTTAATTTTGTTTGAAAAGAACAAGAAAGTAAGATAAGATTGCCCATATTTAGAATTTAATAACGGTGTTTGTGTTTATGTTTAAGAAAACAATCATTGAACCAAACAGACGATAAAATACAAATCAATTCTTACTCAAAACTGGTCAAACGATTGAAATATCAACATACTTCACATCGTCTGTGCTTAAATTTAGTGTTTAATTTAGATGTGATGTACAATGTGATAAATAATAAATAATAATCAAATGTAAAAAGAGTGAAATAAATAAACATCGAACAATATTATTTGATTGAATGCCCTAATAAGAAATTAATTGAATTGAAACGTAAAAACGGAGTTCGTGTCCATCGGACCCAGTGGGAGAGCATAATATAGTTTCATCATGGCTTATTCGTTAATTTTCATAATAAAATAACGATTTTTTATTGTTTTGACGGCTCTGCGGCAGTCGGGTCATCCCCAAAAAAAAACATGCAATAGCTCTGATGGACGCGATCTGCATTTTTGGGTGTTTTGTATGTTATTGCTTTCGGAAAATATACACACAGAGAAGTAATACAATGAAAACTAGATGACTTGTCGTATAAAATTTGGAACTAGTTGACACTCCGTATAAAATTGTATTTTTCCATCTAATTTCATACCAAACATCGTTTTTGTGTATTCTCTTTTATGCGGATCTTCTTCAAAGCATAAACGGAGAAGAACCGCACAAAAGAGAATACACAAAAACGATGTTTGGTATGAAATTAGATGGAAAAATACAATTTTATACGGAGTGTCAACTAGTTCCACATTTTATACGACAAGTCATCTAGTTTTCATTGTATTACTTCTCTGTGTGTAGCGTTTTATCAACATTTAATAAAAAAATTTGGTTTTTCCAACGGTGAAATTAGCCTAAGAATATTAACCGGTGGTAAGTTATTTTTTTGGATGTGTGCGTGTGTTGCACTTGCATAACGCGGTATCAAAGTAATTACAAGCTTAATGTGAGTGTCTGCAAACCTATGTTCATCTAGCGATACTGTTCAATAATCACTGTTTCAAGAGTTGTGCCGAACAGGCTTAATCCGGTGAGCTTCATTGCTTCATCGTTAATGTGTGTATACATCTTTTCACAAATATTCATGTATGTACTTGTAAACTTGTTTCCGCAATGACCAGCTTGTGCGCGAAACACATACACACATACGTGTAAATGTAGCCGCTGTTATCACATTTTCCGTAACGCTATTTTCCATTGGCTTGTCGCTTTTGTGTGCATATTTTTGCTAGTGTGGGCTCAATATTTCCATTTGTCAAAACGAAATCATCAAATACACAAAAGAAAAATTCTCGTTGTGATCAAATCACACAACATTCACTTTTCCATATTCAGAAAAACTTTTAACCCCCGAACCAAAAAGAAAATCACACATTAAATACAAATTTCATCGTCTGACATAGACAGAGAGTGCTTTCAAAAAATCATCGTCATAAAATATTTGCATAATGTATTTGAGTCGGCACGTAAAATCAATTGAATAAAAGTACGTTTGTACGCACACATTACTTTACCACTCAATATGTTTTGCAATATAATATTTTGATACGCCGGGCTTTTAAAAAATATACATTCGTCGCACAATTTTCACTTTTGAGAGTTTTTCAAGCGAAACTTTCAACATTGAAAAGAATTTATGAGATTTCATTTGGCATGTCTCAGTCAAATGGAAAAAAGCTTTTGAAAATATAATTATGATAGTGTGTTTTTTTTTTCATTCGATATTTGACCGCTTGATTGGCAAAGTTTGCCGAAATCAGTGTATACGGGTATGTGGTTATAAAAAAAATCAATGGAGTTCTATTTTTGTACAAATCATTCGCAAATTTGTTGGAAAGTAAGAGTGAATTAAGGGAAGTGACAAGCGAACGATGCGAAAAGTTTTCTTTTCGGACGGGACCCGGTACAAGACGATAAACTATATCGAAAAATGTTGACAAACCATAGGACGCAATTCCGGTGTACGAAATCCAATTTTATAACATAAAAGTTACTGCATCCCTCATTCACATAATTCAATCGGTACACGTGAATCACGTAATATCATACGCGCAATATATACAAACATTTTTTTTCCTTCATCATCATCATCATCATCATCGTTGGCGTCGTAGGTACATATATATAGGTATTTTCATTTGTTTTATTTGTGACAGTCATTTGCAGATAGGCGAAAGAAGCATTTAGAGAAATAGAGAGTTTTGTGTGCAATTTTATTGATTGGAATTGAAAATGATTCGAAGCCATAGACGAAAATGACGAAGACAAATGTGTCGAATATATGATATATGCTATAGAAAACAAGACAAAAATGATGAACAGTGTTTTATCAATAAACCTTCAATAACATTCAGCCAATCATCTCTATGGTGGCGACGAGCATTGATTTTATTCATCATTTCTTCATATTTATTGGTTCAGTTGAAAAGAAACGATAACATACAGCACTCTCTCGTTTGATTTGCTATCGTATTTCAAGTTGTTCGGTGCCATAAAACGAGCAAGAAAAGACAAATTAATTGAGGGTTGAACACATTTATTAATAATTGTTTGGGTGTATTCTTTTCGCGATCGCATATTTTTCGTCATTCTTTTGGTGCAAAAAAAAAAACGACAACAACATAGCTCAGACACACACACACACACACACACACACACAACGGCAGAACGGAATTGAAAGTGTACGTGAATTTTGGCAATGCGCTTATCGATATGGATTCCAGGCATTTTGGGAATCCTCGGTCCGATCGTCATCCCTATTTCACATATGGTAGTTTTATGGTTTTATTGGCAGAATTATGCTCGTTTCGTTGACCGCCGATTTTGCTCATGCTCCTGTTGGGACACCGTATTTAAAGGTATAGCCGGATTAAATATTTATGGTTTTACTTTGTCTTTATAAGCTATAAGCACCAAGTCCACTTATAATTGAATTCAAAAAAAAAAAAAAAAAATAAAAAAAAAACTTTTTAAATAGGTACATATGAGTCGGGCATCGCGAGCTACAAGCATTTGTATTTCAATGCAACGGAAAATACGATGAAAATATGGATATTGACTGTGATTGCAATCATCGCATTGTACGAATGTGCAAAGCATTTAATCAGGCTAATGATTATGAAATCCGTTCGATATTCCATGATATTTCTATTTTGCTTATCGATTTTTTCGCATTATTACGCATGGTGGGCCTATGTTAACTACTACAACGACGATTTTTACAGTCAATGGAATCATCAAATGTTTTTTACGGTAAATACATTCGATTCCAATGTCCGTTTCCATTCCTCGTTTCCAATACAAAACAGATATTTAGATCATTATTTCAATAGTAATCTTTCTGTGTCTAATTTCATGTATAAATTCTTTTATACGTGTATACTGAATTTTATCTATCTCACACTCTGTTTACTTGTGCGTTTTCTTTCCGTCTATTTTTTTTCTTTCGATTTAGATTACCGAATTATTATCGACTAGTGTAGTGTTTCATTTAGCAAATTTAGAAAATATAGTAACACCAAGAAAAATACTGTGTATCGTCGGCGTAGCTATACTGCATATTGTAGCAAGTGGATTTGATCAATTCATTGCGAATGTTTTCAAAGGTGAAGGCTTGCTTCATCAGGTACATATCAAATTTAAATGATCGATAGATTTATTATTAAATATTAAATATTCTAACACACAACAATGATAAACAATCATGATTGCCACATCAAACACACAATGAAACTCTATCACCAATTCTCAACCACACCACACATAATAACACACAAATTTACATAACGAAAATTACATTGAATTTAAGTGGATTTTCTGTAGAAATAGTATCATTATTGTTATTTTTAAAAAAAAACAGTGGTAGATTGTAATGCTGATGTATGATTTTCTAGTCGATTTTAAATAGCGATGATTTCATCGGTTTGTCGTTTTTTTGCATTTTGAATTAACTCTTTACAATATTCTAACGGCAATTTGTTTTGTTCTTTTTTTTCTTCTTTTTTCCTCTTCTCTCTTTTTTGCAAATTGCACTCTCGTCTTAAATGCGCGCACACATATACCGTTACCACTCAAACACAATACACACAATAATACATACAATTGCAGATAATTCGAGATTTAGGTTTTATGGTCCCAGACATTTTTCATTTCTGGTTACCACTTTGGTTATTGAAGAGAACAAGACGAGAAAATTACTCGACCAAACCATTTTATCGAGATTATAAATTGAGACGTGATACAATCGCTACAATTTTGATTGTGACCATTTTATTGCTGGTTTGTACATTCCTTTAAACACACACACACTCACACAAAGGACAAATTCAATTCAATTTGTTTGCGATTTTGCTATTTGTTTCATCTTTTTTTCTTCTTTTTCACATTCATTTTTGTATTTTGTAAAACCAGACCGTTTATACCGTTTTTTTTCTTCTCTTTATTTTCATTTACCATTCACCACAAACGAATTTGGTCGGTGTGTAATTCATATTCATCACGATTAAGCTTTATAATAAATTTCAATTGTTCACATAAATAGAATGACATCATGAATATTTAGCATAATGTTGATAAATATCAACCTGACATAGATTACAATAAAAAAAAAAAATGTTTTTTTAAGAAATTGATATACATAATGAAAGCCGGATGAATACAAAATTTTTGAAATTCGCGATACACAACTTAATTTCTACCTTAAAATCACTTAAATGTGTCCGACATGACAATAAACGTTTTTTTCATTTATTTTCTTTATCTATATTCTCTTTTTCTTTCTCTCTCTCTCTCGAATTTCCATTGCCATATATTTTTCATATACGTTGAACGTCTTTGAAGAATAAGGAGTGATTTTTGTTTGTTAGTTCGGTATATCCAACCGATGGCATGGGAAACGAGAAATTAAGTTGCCTTCGATGACAAGTGAATCAAAAATCAAAAAATCAAATTAGAATTTAAATTTAGAAAACACTTAAACATTGGATAGCCTTTGAAAATTACAGGACATATAAACCAAATCAAAAACATTTTTTTTTGTTGAAATTTTTCATTTAACGATATACTTGAAATTGATTAAATCAATTTCTTCATGTTCCCTATTCATTAATGAATGTAAATGACGATAAATAGTCATTGGTTCGATTGATACATTCCATTTTTAAATTGATGAATAATTCCTATTAGCGGCGCACAACAAATAGATTCAAATTATTTGAGATATGTATAATGTTGTATTTGTTATCATATTTTGAAGGAAAAAAAAAAGAGATTTTGTTTTCAAATGGCTATAAAAAAACAATAAAAGAAAAAAAAACGAGTAGATTTTGATTGAATTTTGTTACAAGATTTTATCTAATGAAGCAATTCGAATACATTTTTCACATTTAATAAAAAAGAAAACAGCATCACTGTTTCAAAATTTAAGATGAATAATAAATGAATAAATTTCAATTGTATTGTTCACTTCATAGATGCGTGTGTTTTATTCAAATAAAAATACGAAAAAGATGGTAAACTCATTAAAAAAAGTTTCAGATTATGTGGTTCCACAAAAGCATTTATTCAACTTTGAGTTTTATTATGGAAAATATGTTGTAATTAAATTGGATTGTAATTGTGTTTAAATTCGCTTAAGCATATCCTTTGATTGATGTGGCGAATTGCCAGTTCTGTTCGACATTAATCGGTCCTAATACCTTACTACCGTCCTTTGTGCAAACGGCCACTTTGTATTGATGATAACTACGGCAATCGCGATAGAATAAGACTTCCATGCATTTCTTGAGCTGCAACCAAAAAAAAACCATTATTATTACCGTGATAGATTCAATGCATGAAAGAACAACAAATTGTAATTGAAAATTCAACAAACCAGTGCTTGAGCTGCATCATAGTCCAAAACGGCATTTGGATTTTCCGAATATTCTCGCAACAATGGGATTGCCAAATGTTTACCATAACCAGTGGCAACCACTTTGTCTTCATAAGCACGTCCACGAACATCAACATGTCCCAAAAATGGTTCACCATCTTGAACACCACCAACAACCAAATCAATCCACCATGGATTCATGCGACACCGACGATTATACATGCATCGTGTCAACCAATTGTACAACGATTTCGGTTTCATTTCGATTTTGTCATCGTGGCAAAAATCTTCGGTGATTTTTTCATCGATGTAATGTTTGATGCATTGAAAATCGGCATAATCGGCACCGGCACCCAAAACACAGTTATCATTAATCGTAAATACACGGTCTACATTTCGAAACGATGCCAACGATCCGTATGAAACAAGTGTATCGGCAGCAATTAAAACACCTTCATTGTATCTGATGCCAACCACCGATGAACCAGTCGCAATTGGATAGCTACGAACAAAAAAAAAAATATTTAGACGGTAAATTGGTATTGAGGTTAGGTCTTTGTTATTTATGAACAGTCATTCTTTGCATGTAAACGAATGTGACACATCACAAATTATCCCCATTTATCGTTTAAAATTCAATCAATGATGGAAAATGATTGAAATTCAATTGGAAAGCATTAGGTAAACAAGCTAATTGAGTGAAATAGAAGGTATAGTAACACTTACGCTGATCTTTGTGAACCATTGTTGCTCGCACTTTTCATCGAACTATTTGATCCTGGAAAATTGTAAAAATTACCAGGCTGTGGACCATTTGTCCACAATGGATTGTTGAAATTTGGCGTTTGATTGAACATCTTGGAACTGACAAAATAAAAAATTCAATTGAATCGAGTTTTTGAATACACAGTTGAACCAAATTGTACTCTTTATGGTAAACAAGAACAAAATTGCAAGTTGTATGTTTGACAACTGTTTTATCGTTTGTCATTCACAAAACAACAGTGTGAACATAGCTGCGTATCAAATGGCATACAATTTTTTTCTGGAGAGAATCAAACGAATACTTTTGTGGAGAATATTTATTGAATTTGCGTAAATGCCTCGAATGTAAAAGTTTTATCGTCCAATTTTCAAAATACAAATTTATTATAACATTGAGATTTGTGTATTTTGTAGTAGCATGACATTTTTTAAAGAAAAATGAATACAAGGAAATACCAATAATGTGAATATGGTCGCAGATGGAGTGGAGAGTTGATTGTGCTATGTTTTTTTATACGAACATTGAAAGGCTTCTCGATCCACCATACAAACTTTTTTTACCTATGACATAGAAATCGTTCAATGAATGAGAATTATGAAGATGTTCATGCATAAAATTTTATTTGTTTTTATAAAAATATTGTAACTTTTATAACGCTCGACGCAGTTAAGTTAATTTATGTTATTTTTGTTTACAGAAAATCGCATATTAAACAATATTACTTATCGCATAAACAGGACTTATGTGAATACATAATTTTGGATTTAAACAATGTACACTTTAACAACTATATTTTATCTAAAATGAAAAAGATTTTCCTTGAAACGTGTAAAATGGATTAACAAATGCACAGATTCTGGGCTTTTTTTAATTTTTTGAACATCACACCAATCGGAAGCGATAGAGTTGATAATTCACATATTTATCACAAAATATTTGTGAATCAAAAAGTATGTGAATTTCAAATGAGTATTCGGTGTGTGTATGCATGTGTTTTGTGTGGGCGTCAGAAATGGGTGATGATAATGAGTGTTGAAATCATATTGTTTTATCATTAAGTTAAAATATGATGTGCTTAAAAAAAATGTTTAAATGAAGTGATCAGACTAAGTTCACAGAACCTACTTCCGTCCACAAAAAGGGAAACAATAAAAATTTCATGCGAGTGGCGACGGAAAATGATTCCCGAAAATACGATTTCCCGAAAGTTGATTTCCCGATTTTTTTTTCCCGAACGGTACATTTTTCCGATTTTTTTTTTCAATTCAATTTGATTTAGGATTCGGATAAAAGTTCACTCTTCTTTTAAGCAAAATTCACCAAAACTTCATCAGACTTTGTTCATGAGAAATCTTAACCACAGTTAAAAAACTTTGATCGGGAATTTTTTTTCGAGAAAAAGTTTTTTCGGGAAATTGTCTTTCGGGAAAATGCAAGTGCGGTCGCCCATTCGTTCAAGATGTGAAAAACTAAATCGGCACGAATCCAATGGTTTCCTCACAGTGCTCTTCAAGTCGTGTCAAACGCTCTTTCAACTCCTTCATTTGTTTCATCATATCAAGATAATCCGTCATTGGAATTTGTACCATTTTTTGCTCACTAATCCTCACCGGTGAATTTGATGTTTTATTTAGTTTCGGTGCTGTCGTTGTAAAATTTGTCAATTGCGGCGGTTCACTTTTTATCACCATCTTCTTTGCTGTTGTTATTGTCGCCGGTCCAACTGAACTATTCGAAATTGATGACTTATTGATCACTTTCACTGTTTGTAAATTCGAACTATCATTCTGAGAGAAAAAAAAGAAGAATTTTGTTAAATATTGAGCGTGTCAAAGTAAATGCCATTTTGCCAATAATATTAAATTATTTTCTCTGAATTCTACTTTATACTAGCTTGAATCAAGCTGCTTGATACTTCTTAAAATTTTAATTTTACAATGTTTTTTTTTACATATTTTGCTTTCTTAGCTTCTTTCTAGAGACGACATATTAAAATTGAGTTTTCTCTCAGATTCATCAGTGGTTGCAATGGAGCGCAGACCTAAATGCCCGATCGTATATATATATACCCCGAATTCCTCATTTTTAATTTTTCGGATTTCGAGAAATTATTTTGGTTTCGGCCAGACTCGGGTTGAGTTCGGTCGGGCATTAAGCATATTTTTCCGTCCATCCATGACCACTGGTATCAATAAGCAATAGATATGCAGACAATAGAGTTTAATAAGTTTAATAATCATTAAAATGAACACTTACATTCCCTACTTTTTGCATCAATCGATATTTTGGAAATCTAAAAATCGAATTCAATCATATAATTCAATTAGAAATCGAAATTGCACAAATCAAATGCACAAAATTAAATGAACTCACCGAATCGTGCCATTCGTCAGTGTTTGTGGATTACAAACAGTTTTGATCACTTTACCTTCGCCACACAATTTGTTTAATTCTTCGGTGGTGATCCGTTTCACGATATTCGGTTTCGTTAGCACTTTTGGTGTTGATGAATTTGCCATGATAATTCCAACCGGCTTTTGTTTTACATCGCCATTTTTGACCTGCACTGAATTTGATGACACCGTCTGAGTTGTATTAGTTGTTGAATTTGAGTTTTGTACTTTAAGTATCATTTGTTTTCCAAATTCGGTGACAATAATTTGTCGACCGCATGCAACGGCTGACTGTAGAAAATTATTTGTATCATCAACAGCTAAATCCTCTTGTAACAGTTGTAGCGTAGACGCTAAATATAGAAAAAAAATATAAAAAAATGTTGTATTTTTTGCCATGTGCAAAAACGAAAAAACTCAATCAACATACAGTTCGATTGTTGATTGGAACTATTTAAATTGGCCTGCAAATTGATGATCGCTGATGAACTATCCTCACATGATGTCGAATCTTGACTTATATCCGCATCACTATGTTTAAACGAGCTTAAACTGTCTCTCTCTATTTCCTGCATGATGCTGTCGGTGGCTTCTTGCTGTTCTTCCATACTGACAGCCGCCTGAATTTTGTATGTACTCATCATTCGAGCCAAGTCATCGAATCTTAATTGTTCGGCTAATGACATGGGCGTCTCTCCATTTTTCGATTCGCAATATGGATCGGCACCGTGTTTTAGCAGCAATTTCACAAGATATGGATAATCCTCTTCGACCGCCCAATGTAATGGTGTCATCTTCAACATATCTCTAGCGTTCACATCACATTTATGACTCAGCAATAATTTGACCTAGAATTGATAAAACCATTAAGAAAGTGATTCCAACATTTGTGCCAGACCACAAACCATTCAAACCAAAACAAATGCCATTTTAGTAAGAATTGAGCAGTGTCATTTGGTGCTTACAATTTTTTCGTGACCATTGCAGACGGCCAGATGTAATGGTGTTCGTTCGACTTTGGTTCGTGAGTCTCGGCTAATACCAGCCCGAAGTAATACTTCGCAGGTATCATAGTGATTATTTTCAGCAGCCATATGAAGTGCTGATTTGCCCAGCCAGTCGGTCGTGAAGGGCGCACCACGACACATAAGATCGTGCACTTTAGTCGTGTGCCCTTCTTTTGCACTCTCCAACAGCTGTTTGCCCAAATCCATAATTGATATTGCTGGAGTCTTGGGCTGACTCAAAACTTGAATCACTTTTCCGATTTCCATCTAGCCAGAGAGTGTGTGAGAGAGAGAGAGAGAGATGCCGAACGAATTAACAACAATAACAAATAATTTTGTTTGAAATGACATTTGATTTTAAGGTTATTTCTATTTTGATTATATTGCTCTCTATATCACTATTACAAATGTCAATCAAATTGATTTAATCTATTCGGCATCAAATTGATATTTACCATTTGCGATGATAATTCACAAATTTGTTACACAATCCAATCCGTCACTATCGTTCCAATGAAATTGTCTGTTTACAATGCGTCACTGGTCCATAAATCATGAGTTTTGCGCTAAATATCGTCGCCTGATTTTTGCATTCGCAAATAATAAATAAAAATATATTACAAAACAATGAAATGTGAGTAAAATGTCGATTTTGTTTGACTAAAAACACTTGAAAAATATGATATAAAAAGTAAAAATGTTCAAACAATTGATGATAACAGAATTAACGACTAAAACAAAAATCAAAAAATACTTGATAATGTTGTAAAAAAAATCGATGAATAAAATGTACATATTGTATTCCCAATAACGTCAATCATAAAGCGTATTCAAATTAAACGTAACAAATGGTCACAAAACAAAACGAAACAAAAAAAAATTATTATGATCGAAATGTTGAGATGTAATTGTATTTAGAACCTGGTATTGTTTTGAAATTTTGTTGGTTTTCATTGCTTTTTTATTTAAAATGGTTGTCATTTATTTAATCTGGGCACTTTCGTTACGTTCGTTTTTATTTGCTGCGATGCAACACTGAATAAAATCACTGAATACTAATATCCTTTGGGACTTTTAGTTGTCAATATTATTTTGCGTACACACAATACTAATTCAATTAGCATCTGCACTTTGTTGAAGTTGCGTTTTTTTTCTGAATATCGTTGAAATTGCAATGTATAAAAATAAATATTGTTGAACAATGAGAGCGTTTTTTTTGGCGTTGTTTACAAAACAATTCAATCAATGTTTGACATAAATGAAGGAATAGTCGAAACAGGATAAGGATATGGGTATTAAAATGATAGAGGCTTTCATAGATACACTATTGAATATAGAGAGAAATAAAAAGACATCGAAATAGTACCAACAACAAATGGCTCCTTTTCCGTTTCGCAAAATACATACAATCTCAAACAACTGTCACCGCACAAACATATTTCAATCAAAATAAACTTGTTTTTTTCTTCGATTATTTGGCCACAGTATCGATCGGTTTTTATGATTCAATTTACCTTTGAATTTAGATTACAAATACACTTTATTACTGGCACCAACATGAAGAAAAATGTCTGTGATACTGTCATTGAAATTCTCATAAATTCCTCAACATTTCTCTCTTCTCTTCGTGTTTTATTTTTGACAATGTCAGCCGTCATGAGAAGTGGAGAAATACATAAACCTGATACCGGCTTATTGCTTAAATTCAGTCGATTTCATCAATTAATTAACCGATTCTATGAGCAATTTTGCAACAATTATCAAATGATAAATTTGTTTCATTTTGTTTTTAGAAATGAAATTGCGTGCGTTGCATCTTTAAAATATTCCGTTTATGATGAAGTTTGGAACACATGTATTTGAAGCGAAAACCTATCAACAGTTTGTCAGTGTTTCACTCTAGGTTGCCTACACACAGGAGGCAAACATTGTCGAAAATTCGCAACACTGAAATGATGCGTATGTGTGATACAAACATCGATTACTTCCGGGCACGAAAAATTCAACGGAAATTTAAAATTGAAACTAGACAAAAAACCAACATTTTTTTATAGTTATTTATTTCATTTAGTTTTTATATATTTTTATATATCAATAATAATACAGATTGTATGGATCTAAGTAATTTTCATTAAATGTTATTCATAAATTCGAAATTATATTGTATCTAATTTTCAAACAATTTTTCCAATTCTAAGTATAAAATCAATTAGTATTTTTTTTTTTTGGAATAAACAAAAACGATCTTAAGTTCATGTTGGGACAACCAATAACATCAATCTTTTTCTTCTATTTTTTTTCCACAATTACCCTCTTCCAATGCCCATTTATATACATACAAACAGAACAATTTTGATTCTTTTTTTTAAATTTTTCTAACACTTATTTGTTTAACCGATGGTGTCCAATGCGTTGAGAGGTATTTTTAAATAATTTATTAATAATTTTTAATAAAATGGATATATTTGCGTATTTTTTTGGAATATTTTAAGTTTTTGTTTCTTCTTTGCTTCGACTCTTAAACAAAATCTCCATACATTTAACAGACTTTTCATATTCAAGCTGCTGATGATTCGGACACGCATTTCAAATCATATATAATTTCTCTACTATATCTTATTGAAGATATTGTCCAATCACACATAACATCGATTCACATTCAATCAGTTTGCATTATTATTTGATTTTCGTTTAAGTTGGCCATCAATTTTTCACATTTGAACAAAAACATCTTTTCAAATTCAACTCCTTTCTAAAGAAACATATTCTCTCTAACAACATAGTGGGAAAATTGGCTTTGGCAAATCGATACGCTTGTATTTCAAGCAAAAGTTTAAGATTTTTTTTACCATTTCATGATGTTAACAAAAAAAATGTGACTATCAATAGTGAACGGGGAACAGGATAGGAATTTGAAATTGTAAATTCAATTGCATGAATTATAGAACAAAATTATGTTGAATTTTTAATGCGTTATTTATCGCAACAGTATAAACTCTAAGATACTAATAAGTTTTATGTGTATTGTTTTTCATTTTCTTCCTTATTTTGTCAATTATGCATCATTTTCATCCGTAATTTTATGCTTAAGCATTTAATTGTGCGTTTTGCACCGCAATACTCTCTTGGTGTTTAAAAGAAGTGCGTGACTGTATTCAGGCAATAAGAACAATTGGACATGCTTCTTTTTTTGTCCATTGACAATGTTCCGTTGCGTATGCCATTGCAAATCAATCATCGAATTTTTTTCATCTCAAAATAGGAGACGGTATGGCCATTTGAAAAATTGTGTTGTATGCGATAGGCTATTAGAGTTTCTTTTACATAAACACATTTAAAGCCATTACATAGTTCTTGATTTTCTACTTGCTTGGGTCAAAGTTACCATACATTTATATTGAGCAATTAGGTCGTGTATATATCTTCTTCTTAAAAAAAAAAAAAAAAAAAAAAACAAAAATTACATGTGGCATGTGATTTCTATTTTATCATCTTACTTGTGCCAAACGAAAAATTACACATTTTAATGACACTCTTATATTCATTGGTCTTAGAATTTTTTTATCGAAGCTCTTTAATTCGAGCATCGATGCGTTATCATCAATTTCATTTTTCGGTTAATATGATTCTACGTTCATTTTACAATCTATGTATATAATTTATAAGAATTGTATTCAGTACAAACTTCTATAAAGCGCGGCATTCAACTCTAAATATCTATGCCGTCAGTGGGTCAAGTGCTGGTCTTATAAAAAAACTCAAAAAGAAATGTAGCAACATTTCTACAAACATATGGTCGTTATTGACAAAAAACCAAAAAAAAAAAAAGACAGAAAAATAGCCGAGAAAAAAATGTCTATTAAAATCTCAGCTTCTGTCAACTTCAATAAAAACATTGATTACTATGGAATTTGTGATGAGCAAAAGTTGTGCCATTTTCAATTTGGCTGACATCAGATGTTCAAAATGACTATTTTGTATGATATTATTAGTATATTTAGTATATTAATCGGCTCATATTTTTCTGTTTTTTTTTTTTCACTTTATCTGAAACGATTGCATGCCTCCAGGGTTGGCGAATCAAATTTTCCAGTTTTTTCTAAAATACATCCAGTGTTTTGGTAGTGATTCCTATTTGCATTCAAATACTACTTCAAGAAAAGAAAATAAAGTAATTTGTTGAGAGATGGACATCAATTTTTTTACCTTCAAATATTATTTATGTGGAAATCTATTTAAAATATGCGTGCATTTATGTTCGTCAATCTTTTTCGTTGGTCGTGCACAGCGTAAGTTGATGCGATATTGTAAACACATTATGCTTGCTACAAATACTTACGTTACAAATACTGTACCGGGAAAATTCGTAATCGTTCGAATGAATTTCACGCCAAGAAGGGTATATTTTCTATTCCATGTCCTACTAATTTCACTGTAGTTCAAAAATTTCTTTGAATTAAATTTGTGTGCGCTTGTAATTTGAAAACATGCTTTGTCTTTTTTCTTATGATGAACTGTTGCTCGTTTTCATGCTAAATGTCTTTTTTTTATATCAGTTCCTATATTTTGTGCTATTTATTTATGAGTTTATTGTTCATTACTTTAATAAACAAAATGAAAATGTGTTTAAAAATAAATAAAAAGGCGAAAACTGTTGTTTTTTTTTAAGTTTCATCTAAATGGGGTCGTTTAATACGTTGACTCTTCTCAGTTAGTATCATTATTTAAATTCAATGAATTTCATTTAATATGTCTTGATTATTTTTGTTTTAAGTTATTTTAGATAAATGTAGATAATTAAATTCATTAATTTATCTTTGAAACAGTCATATTTTCTTGCATTATACTTTTTGTTTTGGAATTTTTTTCCATTTATTTTCGTATTTCAAAAGAAATTCTCCCTTTCCCTTTCTCTCTCTTCGCGCTTTGGATGTATATGTAATAATGATCACACGATAACTAAAAGTTAATAAATACTAAACAATCGTATAATAATATGCAAACAAAGTGATTTATAAATGAAAAAAACACAAAACAATGGAATATTAACACAAAAGAGAAAATTCAATCGAGTCGATAGGTTGGCAAGAATGAAAATCTTCATAATGTCACCATTTCATAAATGATAAGAATGTTTTGGTGGCTCTTTAATTATTTTTTTTTTTTACAGAAATAATGGTCGCTTAGTAGATATCTCTTATAAAAGAGTGCTCTCGTATTCTCAGGATGATGAGGTTATCGTTTTATTGGTGTTATTGTGTGAGAGTCGGCTGCCTTCCATGGCTGGACTACTTTGTGTTGAGCTTTCCTCTGAGCTCACGGACGTTACAATAATTGGTTGATGTGTTGGACTTTGTGACGGTGTTGAATTCGTACTTTTTGCCTTTCGAAACCAGTTTCCAATGCGTTTGCGTCCCAACGAATTCGATTGATAATCAAAACTCATTTGATTTGGTTCTTTGCCTAATTTACGTGATTTCTTTGGAAGTGTGTCGGATTTTTTGAATTTCTCATGCTTTGGTGATGGAATTAAATTGCGTTTTTCATTTGTTACTGGGCAATCGTTTAAATTGTCCACATCAATGCCACGCTCACTGATATGCAACGATGCATCATCTGGACTACTACCACCTGGTGGTGAATCACTGCACGCATAATCATTGTTTGGCTGAAATTCACGATCAAATATTTCATCATCAATGCCAGCTATCTCTGACACAAATAAGCTTTGACCACAAAATTGTCGTTCAGCTGATAATGTATTCAAAAATCGCAGCTTACTACTGCCACTGCGAAAACAAAAATCCAGCCATTTTTTTCGCGTCTCACAGAATATACGCAACGCATTTTTCAACGTAAGACCAAACATTCGGCCATCGGGCAAGTTTAGAATACGGCAACTATCTAAGAATATTCGACCCTTATATATATAATTGGTACGTTTGAGTAAATCCTTTTTACAATAAATCAATTGTCGATCGAACAAAAATAGTGTATACGTATTGTTCCAGATGTTGGGCGTCATGCGAATTGCATCAATTTGCAGAAAAAGTCGTGTGCTGTGAACACTAATTGGTGGACCTTCATAATTGTCGAAACGGGCCTGGATGCGCGACAAATATTCACTATGCCGTTTACCTGTTAACGATTATTCACATTCGTAAATAAACCGATAAATGGATTGAAAAGAGAATGAAGTTGCATTGTTAATACTTTTTTATTCGAATGGAAAAAAAATGATTTTTTTTTTCTGCAAAAAAGTTGCATAAGCGAATTACCTTCGTTAACCATTTCCGTAACACGTTTCATAGCCACCAATGCTTGTTCAAATGCTTCTTTCGAATCGAGTAAATCGGTGTCTACACGATCACCATTTTCTTCATGCATTCGTATTAGATCCTGTTTCGACGGTGAATGTTTGACTAGTTCACTCAAGTGCAATGGATAGCGACAAATGCGTTGAATTGGCGCCAGTAAATGTGCAGATAATGGCAATTCCGGTAAGTTTTGCTGAGTACGGCAACTGGAACAAGAACACAAACAAGAACACAAATATAAATAAATGGCAAAAAATAGCAACGAAGAAAACTAAACGATTCTTGTACGGTGTACATCTACACACACACATACGAAATTTATTTAAATCATTTTGCCAATCTTAATGGCATATCAAAGTTGAATACATACTTTTCTAGCAGAGCCATAGCATCCGAATTCCCTGTATAGGTTTCCAATTCCATCAGTGCACGTGGATATGAATTACAATAAGTTGAGTAAACCATAAAATCCGATTGCTGCACAAGAAAATAAGAAAATTATTTCGTTTATTTTCATATGAAAATTGTGATTCGTTTTCATTTCTCTCTCTCTCTCTCTCTCTCTTTCTCTCTCCATTGTTTCTACTATAATAACAACATGAATTGGAATCAATTGCGAGCAAGCAGTATGTTTTATAACTTTTTAAGCGTGTGCTTAATATAATTGCACTGCCATTTATTTATACTATATATTTCGAAGTGAAATTGCGCGCACTCACCCACCCACCCATCATCAATAAACTGAATATAAAAATCACAACTTACAAATTCCAAAAATGTCTCAGCAATTTTATTGTGCTCGATGCCATAGCGCAATCCATCGAGGAACTTTTGTTGAAAGCGAAAAATCTTTTCAATATTTGAAAATATGAGGATTAAACTTTCGGTTGGAAAAACGCTTGGATGTTGTCGGAGCTCTTTCAGATATCTGCAATGGACGAGAACGTTCGTTTTGATTATTATAAATATGAATTCCTGTATATTGGACGCTTTGTTTGCGAAAAAAAAACTATGCTTTGCAATAAACACGTGCACGTACCGTGTGCACTCTAATAAAACAAAAATCCTTACGAGAATAAAATAATAACATTTATCTAGAATAAAAGTAGAGAAAAAAAAATGAAACACTTACCCGATGCATAGCGATGATAATAGTTTCACATAGTTTTCTTCAGTTTCGAGCAGCTCACGAATGACATTCTCCTTCATTGCTTCGTTGGTCATTTGATTGGGTTGCACCGAGCCATTTATTTCATGTGATTTTGATAAAACTGGTGAAATTGGTTTTTGAACATATTCGATATCACAGTTATTAAGATCTGTTGGTAGTTGAATGCTCGCTTGTTGAATGTTCACATTTTTATTGGGCCGTGGAAATGGTTCAATAACCTATTACAATAAAATTTAAAATATATTTCAAAATTCATGTCACACATAAAAAAAAAACAAGAAAAAGAAAATGAAAAATCGAACACTCACTTTGACAAAATCTCTTGGAAACCATCCTTGACGTGGTTCATTTTGTGGTCCACTCAGAATTGCATCATGTTTGATTCGTCCCCACCACCATGGTCCAGATTCCATGCGAAGTATTTCAACGAGCGCACCACGTTCTAGGCTTAACTCTTCAGCACCGACCGCTTTAAATGTGTACAACACTTCAGCGTATACAATTTGTTGATCGATACCATTTTCCATTGCAATGGCTTCAGTGTCAGTGTCACTATCATCGGCATCTATAGCATTCATTGTTATAAGAAATGTACAGTATTTTAAATGTTTTGCATCAATGGACTCGTGGAAACGAAAGTATTTATTTTTGTTTCAGTTTCGTTTTCTTTCATATAGATACACTTTGATGCACCGCACATGACGTGTAGATGTGAACATTGAAAAAAAATTAAATAAAATTTTGTGCAAAAGGAAGCAATGCATACGAGCTCGCGAACAAGAAACGAAAAACCAAAAAAAAAAAAAACATATACAAAAAAGAGTGACAAATGTTTTACTTACATGGTGCGATTTGATTTAGACCGAATGGTTGGCTGAGTGAACGACCCGGAATTGTTGTTAAGTATAGTTTGTCGGAACCGCAATCGTTTCGCTTTAAAACTCGTGCTTTAGCTGCCGATGCCATTGAATTGGACGCAATCTTTGCTGAATTGGCGCGACGAACACGTACATTAAATGATGGCGATGCATCCAAACAGTCGGTCACGTCATTTGATACATTTTCATCATTTTCCAATTCAACTTGAATGCCGGAATCGCCACTGTTGCATTTGTCACGACGATGATGTTTCGTCTTACGACGCTCTTTACTCGTCCGCCATATCAATGGGCCGAAGCGATATTTTATTATGTCAGCATTATCAAATGATGGATTTGTCGTGCTAATCATTGAATGTGTATTATTACTATTTATCGATCCGATCGATGAATTGTTTGATACATGGTTTGAACCATTGACTGGACCAAGTGGACCATTATTCGAACCAATCGATGATGATTTTCCTTTTAAATTCGAAAATGTTTTTCGAAACTTTTGTAAAACACTGGTCGTCGATGTTGGATTGCTTATCGGTGGATGTGTTTCAACGGTTTGTACAACTTCGTCGCGTCGAGGTTTCTTTGAACATTTAACCGTATCGAGAGGATTTTCACATAGTGATGGACTTGATACGGCCCTCATTTGTGGTGTCTGGAATTACAACAAAATAACAAATTTGTAAACATATGACACATATGTGTTGCAATGGTCATAACAATTTTTTTTTTGGCAATCGATGAGTAATTAAATTCAGAGGAATGTCGATTTATAAGCAAATAATTTGATCAATAATCGAAGGAGATAACGATAATTCGATCGATCTGATTATTAATAATAATATCATATTATACAACAATATAGATTTTATTATAGAACATAAATTTATTGACGTATTGCGCAAATCAATTATCAAGTCGATCGCGATATCAACAAAAATTCCTGGTTACATTTTTTTTGTTCATAATTAAAAAAAAAAACAACAGCCAAAGTGGTCACTATGCATTGTTTCTCACTTAGACGCGCGCGTCCACACACAATTGATAACATATGGTTAACACTATACACAAACGTGACATGATTCTGAATATTATCTACCTGTACAATGTACTTTCCCTTCATGTCTTGATTCAATCAGAAAAAAAGAACCGCAGAAGATGATATTCTTCTTTTTTGTCGGTGAACAACGAAAAATTGAACAACATCCAGCGTTGTTTCCTCGTTGTGCGGCCACCCGCTAAACCACTGCAATCTTGTTTGATCCCCTCAAAAATGCGATAATTGGCAAAAATCGCGGTTCCAGCCCACTCCAGCACAAAGACAGCTCAGTGAGTACGTTGGTGGTTGTTGCCGTGTTTTTTTTTTATTAATAAACTTGCAACAGACCAAAGAACTTCTGGTATATTATTTTATTTCGTATAAATCTTTTTATTGAACACATCGCGTGTAATGAACGCAAATCAAGCAAATACCGTTTAAAAATCAAATAAGATATATTAAATGTGTACGGTGCAAATGATATTTGCGCTGTTCGTATTTTGCACACTTTTCTTTTTCTCTTCGTTTCGCACTTCCCTTCGTTGCCGCTTTTTTTCCACTGAATTTTCTTCGTTTTCTGCAAATTCATTCGAATGAATGTGCACAAACAGCAAAAATTAATTACGATTACAGGGAAACACACTTTTTGAATTTGATTTATTCATTTATAAGAAATATAAATTGAAACAAAAGCAACGCTCCGAGTGAAAACACCCGAATGGTAAATTGTGAACGATGGTGCGATTTAATTTTCGTGTGAAAAGTGCCAGCAAAATTAAGTCGTGTTCTTTTCCTTCATTTTATTAAATGAATGGTGAATTTACGATGGTGGTGGCATGTAGTATGCTACTGTTGATATATCATCATTTGAATCGGCTTATTTGCTTCCAACCAAAAATGCTCTGATTGTATGCGATACGTGTGTGTATTTGATAAAACTCAACACCAATAAGGCGAACGCACAAGCACATACGTACATTGCAAACTCAATACTTTGTATGCGAAAGCCGATTTGGTATTAAATACAAATCAAAATCGTATTTGCTTCGTAAATGGTTTTTTTCTTCAACTTTTTTTCTTCTAAAAAAAATTCAGTATTTATAATAAGTCAAGCGCGATCTCTTTCTTTCCCCTTCAATTTTGATGAGGTATAGCTTGTTTTATCAAAAAAAAAAAAAAAAAAATGAGATGGCATTGAATTGTTCAATACGTATAAACATTGTCTTGGCTATCGACTCGTACAATTAGTACACATACGTACGCCGTACACCGACTTTCTGTTATCATCGGCAGTTTTCCATCGAGTACAATTTTTTTGTGTGGTTTTTTTTTGCAGTCTTCATGGGTCAAAATTCTGTTGGCACATCTGGATTCTTCATACCTTTTTCGCATTTGATATTGACGGCGATATTTGAAATTCTTGTGTGCATTGATTCGTTTAAAGAAAGCGAAGAAAGTGGAGGGAAAATGTATCAAATTGTATAAGGTGTGCAATAGACAGAGAAGGTAAATCGATTTATAAAACGCTTAATAAATAGTTATTTGGTTATCGTTAATAGACGAACAAATCGCTACGATAAGATACTATTGATTAAAAAAAATTGTGCACCCTGAATGTAATGTCAACAAAATAGACAGAAACAATTGACAGGCAGAAAGTAATCGAACAACAATTATTTATTTATTAATATAATAAGTTGTGATGACTTTATAGAAATGCGCATAGATTTTTCTTCAGAAAAGTTTGAATCGAATGTTTGATACCAATCTAGATAAAGTTTTTATTTGTTCTAAGGTCAACATCGAATAACAACGCATATCGTGTGGCAATGGAATCGTGCACACATGTGTCCGGTCGATAAATGTAAACAAAATTGAATGAACCGCCATATAGACTTTGCGCCCATAACACTTACTTTTGCCTTTAAAAAAATATTTATTGATTCGGATGAATTTCGGACAAAGAATGTTCCGACCTAATCAATACCGACAAACAAAAACAATGGAAATTTTTGTTTGGATCTTTTTTCTTTTGGCTGTTTCTTTTTTTGTTCTCGCTCAGATACAAGTAATTTTTATTTCAACCTTATCATGCGCGCATTCTTTGCGCTCGTGTGATTATTTCTCAGCTCATGTGGTTCCACGAGCACATTGTATGACGATGGGTGGTCGATCTATCAAACACATTTGAACCTGTATCGCATCTACACATTGCATCTCAAGTTGATCGATATCGGTCAATGTTTGGTTATTTTAAAAACATATAGTAAGGCTCACACTAAAAAACAAATGGTGTGGGTTTTCTTTTCTTTTTTTTCTTTAAAAAAAAAGGGAATCGTCGCCGTGATCATATGAATGGAGAAAAAAAAATGAATCGAATGGAATTTTAGTTATTCCCTACGAATCGACAATTTATCAGTTAATGGCGTCAGCGGTGCTTTCTTACACGAATTCTTGAATTTCGGTAAAATTATTTTCCATTGTTCTAACGAAAAGAATTTTTATTGATTTCTCACTAGGATAAGTGGCCATTAGACATGCTCGAAAATGTTCGATTGTTGTTGCATCATGTAAATTTCATTTCATGTTTCTATGCCATTCAACGTCGGCCCATAATATTATGTTAAAATAGACATAAAAACACAAATTGTTTATTTATTTTGTATGTGTAGAGATAGATAGACATTGAGCCATTAAACCATTTGCTATCTGGATGCTACGAATATTTACATTTTTCCGCTTTGAAGACATTTAATTAACACAAAATACTCATTATCGTTCATTTATATTTGTGTTTAAAGCGGATAAAGATAAATGTTCATTAATACGGGCTCCTAATTATCGAAAAATTTATATCGTTTTATGAAACGTTTTTCTCATTTTCATATTAATGCCCATTTAGAACAGTAGCATATTAATGCCTATTTAGCATTAAAGTATGCTCAAAGACAAATTCAAATCAACTGCATATATTATGATATACAAGGATAGCGAAATCTTAACGCATTTATGTAATTTTTTCCTACCCATTCAATTTGCTTTATGATGGTCCATACATCGATTTCACTTTCAATTCAATGATATCATAAAAAAAATGTTGACAAAAACTCTGCCAATGCTTTGAGTCATGAACTGAAAGCGTCAACACTTCACGTAATAAACGATTGATAGCAAAAACGATCAATGTTTACCCAATTATAGTTAAAGTTTTTTTTTTATGGCACACATCATAACAATAAGGATGACTTCTTGGATTAATATCGTGCACTATACATTTATCTTCATGCATTTTGACAACTGTCAAAAGTTTTATTACAGTTTATGTCTAGATGATGATGATGACGAATCGTTAAAATGTTTAACAACGGAAATACGAAATTAATTAACATGTGCTGTGTGCATTTACACTGAAAAGAAATCAGCGACAATATGAAATAAATCCAAAGCATTTGGAAAATTCTTTTGTGTCAACCACATAAAGTGTGTTGGTTTTTTTTATTCGTTACTCTCTCGGCAATATGTTTTATGAAATCAAGTTTGGTTTTATTTTTTATTTTTTTATTTCGTCGTAATTATTTTTTTTTTGTTCCACAATATTTTTCACATTTTTAATATGAAGACATTTGAGTTTTTCTGTGTTGCCGTCACAAAATCCGAAATTAAATGAATCTGTGTCTGAGCCATTACGTCTAAGTTTGGATTAACAAAGGATAAAATCTTATTAAAAGCATGTCAAGAGGCATTTTGATGTATGTTTGGTTGACACTCAAATATCGTTGCAGCACTCTTTTCCATCTTTCCGAGACAATGTAAACGTCTGGATAATAACCGATTCTGCCATGATATAGACATTTAATAAATGTTTCTAAAACTGAATGTTTCTGTGAGGGGATCTAAATGGAAACCGAGAAAAATATATATGTATACCGAAATATATTTATAAATAGAATATGTCATTTCGAAATATTTCGTTTGCGCTTAGGGCTTAGCATTCATTTTATTCCATGACAGATTTTAGATGGTGGTGCGTTACACATGCGCTGATAATTTATTTGTTAACTTAGATAAGATGCATTACACATATTGTCTGTTGCACTGCCACATGTAAGCATTTTCTAACATAAATTTCTCTGGGGTAGCCTGAATGCCAATGAACTTTTGAGCTTGGTGTTTCGAGCGATGGACTGGTAAAAAATTAAAGAGAGAGAGAAAAAAAAACCCGATGCGCACAAAAAACGCAACATCGTTCCGCTCGGTTCACATTTTTAAATTTTTGGTAATGAATGATGTATAAAGAAATTATGAAAGAGAGTGCAATTCATTGCCGCGCACAAATTTATCAAAGAAAAACAAGGCATTTATATTCTTCCACCACACTACACACTGCTTTCAAAAGAGAGTGATTGAGGAAAAATGTTTGTGAAGAAGCACGATGAATTTTCTTCCTGGAATTTATCATCACAATTTATTTTTGAATGCACAACTAAATGTAATTATAGCTTGAAAAAAAAAGAAGAACTGAAAATAGAATTATAGATGGGAAAAAACGACAGAAATGTTAAGTTGTAGAGGATCGAGAGAAGATGAGAAAAAAATTGAATCCATTATTTATGTTTTCGTATCAGTATATCTATTTGAAAAGAGAATAAAAGAATCATTTTGTAAACATAAACATGGTTTTTGGTTTCTCTTGCTCTCTTTTTGAAGGCGAAGAAGATCGGAAAATCATCATGATTGATATAAATAGAGATGGTTAATAGAAATAAAAAGTCATTGGGTTTTTTTTGTTTTGTTACTTTTGAAACTCAATTTTGATGATTTTACGAAATGTCAGGACGAAACCAAAGTTCTTTTTAAATTGTGAATTTATTTGAAAGAAAAAGTAATAACATCGATCATATACTCATCAAATGATGTATGATCAAATTCATGTGTGAATTATGAGAATGGTTTTGCACACACCCATACATACATGCGCGCAAACCAATTCAATAAGAGAGGTCAATTGATTCGATTCTCTATGTAAATCAGATGTGCCATTCGATTCAAACGATAAAAAAATCGACTGTGCTTCGTGCAAAGATCGAAGCAATTGCAATAAATTGAGATCAATAACTCTAATGTTATCGCCACTGCTAATTCGAAATGAATGTAAAAATGGAAGACCTTAGAATTAACAGAAATGTTACAATTTATTACCGTCAGATACTTTGAATTTAATATCTTATCAGGTGAAAGAATAAATCAAATAGTTAAAAAAGAAATGTAACAGATTGCAGTATAAACGTAACGATTGCCTCAAATCTCCTTATTTATACGGGCAATAAACCTTAATGAAATCGACATTCATCATTATTCATTGATTATTACCGATAGATTACTACAATAAAAGCATATATATACTCACTAAATGAGGGACAGGCACGCGGGTCTCATTGCCGGTGGTACAACTGTAATGTAAAAAGAAAAACAGAAGCAAAAGCATTAGAATTTAATTGAATTACATTTACAGAGATAAATATAATAGAATTGCGCTTTGATAAGTGGTCGCGATGCACACACATGCAAGGTCTTTCACTATATACTTTAGACTTCAAATAATTACTTGCACAACAACATAATCACCGTAATTGCAATCAAATCGCATCTGCCATTTTACATCAAAGCACTACTATCATATCAGACTATAAATTATTTAATGTCATTGGTTAAGATTCAAAAAATATTGAATATCGAATTTAATTGATGTCATCTATTTATAGAGATAATTGTATGCATACAGTACACATTCCCACGCACAACAAAAAAATCACAAAACGAAATTGAAATGTTTACATTTTATAGTGATCTATCACGCAAGTCTTTCTCTATTTCTTTCCATCTTTTTGTCGTGTCTATTCCATATTATTATTGATAAAATTGTGTATATATGATATATACAGTATAACGAATTTCAAGTTTCCTCATTGCGTTTGTCATCGATCTTACGACTGTTTTATTACCATTCTATTGCGTATAATGTCAATCACATATTACAAATGGATGCTTTGAAACAGAAAAGTTAATTGAAGAGTTTTTATCTTATTTCCAACATTTGAGTCACCTCATTGTGTGGATATATATCGACCATATTTTGAGCCAATGTAAGAGACAGAAATACAAATTATATAAATACAGAAGCGACAAAATCAGCACCACTGATACATATACGTTAGATTTATCGCATGGATGGCAAGAAATTGCCACTCAAAAGAGAAGTGAACACCATCTGTTTTGACATGCAAGCGTAGCACATGCGTTTTTCTTTCCATCTTTAACGTAATTCAATACTTTTCCTTCCACTTTTATTTGTTTGAAAATAATTTTACATTTTATTCGATTTCCTCTCTATTTCTTATGAATCACATAAATCCGGTACCAATACCGGTCGTCTTGTGCACACAGATTTGAGATCTGTCAATCAAATAATCAATGCTCGTACCGATCCATGGAGGGTCTATTAAATGGGCTTAAAAATCGATTTAGTATATAATTCGATGAGCACCCACATAAATATCTCTGTTGAAAAAAATCATCAAGAGTACCGTATAAACCTCAGTCTGATCGAATGCGAAATAGAAGAGTTTTCAAATTTCAATGGTACAAAAATGTAATTGTCTTTTCTAATTTTGTGATAAAAAGAAATATCGAATTGTCCCGCATTTAAAAAAAAAGATCTACTCAACCAACAAATTTTTTTCGCTTTGTTTGTCGACGTGTTCAGATATTTAAAAAAATTTATTTATTTTCCAGTTAGAGAGATACAAAAAAAAAGACATTTTGATATTTTAAAATGAAGTTGGTCAAGCGGATGCACTTCTCTCGATCGAATCGAAATCGAAGGGAAATTTTAAGGTGAAATTGAGTTTATACCACACACACACACACACACACACACACACACACACACACACACACAC